ATTTTTTTTTTACAGTCTGGAGTCGATTGTGAATTTTCTCCACGGCCCTGGCTGAAGGAATGTGTTACTGCAAGCAACCCGTTGCTGAAATAGACCAATTAAATACCTTTCTCAGAGCTTTTTGTCGTGGAATGTCCGCAAGACGTGCTGCGGCGCATTTCTGCAAATCCGGCCATACTGGACTGATAGTGTCTATACGTTCCTCCCAAACGTCCAACGGCACCCAAAACGTCCTGGCTATGTTCCGTCTCAGACGAGCAATTCGCGCCTAATAAGATTATATATATATATTTATTCGTCGTATCTATGAGGGAAAAATTCTATTTTATTTGGTCCAAATCGGTGATACCGATTAAAACCAAAAGCATACCGGATTCCACGTGCAGTGATGTTGCAAGAGAATCGCGCTACTTCGCTGGTAACAGGTCAGGGGAAATACAATTCATTAGATATTCTTTTCAGATATGTGGACTTGGATGGTACGCAAAGCCGTAAGCTACCAGTGACTACCCTGCCTGTGACGAAAAGGTGTTTATAGTTATGAATATCACCAACGTGAACTGAGCCGGCGAACCCTTACACGAAAGAGTAATAAGTGGTGCAATGACAGGCATCAAACGTCAAGTCAAAAAACTTGCGAGCATCAGTTGAATATGTATTCTGCTATACTGTATATTTACAACAATTGTTCACAGTGTGAATTTAATGCTGGCTTATAGGAAATCACAATACCCTTTTTCTTTCCGCTTTTTTACGAATTCTAGCAACACGATCTTCCGCATATTCTTGCAAATTTGGCAAGTAAACGCAAACAGACCATTGGTTTTCTTCACGGACACTTAGCGGAACCCAAAATTGAGAAATCTTCTTGACGCGTGGATGGTAACATAACGCCTGCAAAACATAAGTTTCAATCTGTCACTTTGCAGTCTGTGTCTCGACAAAAAGTTTTTAAACTTAATTAAATGAAGTCTTGTCATGCATGCTAATTGTAAATATACACGTGGGGTTAATTACCCAGATAGAAATATCGCCAGGTCCAAGTACAGCATGATATCTGAGTTATATCACACAAGAAAATACTGTAACAAATAGAAGAAATCAAAAACATTATTCACAAAAAAAATTAACAGGACTGCCCCCATTTAAAGATCAGTAGTTGTCAGCACAATAAAGTACTTGAAAGAATTGCATCTAACACATACGATTTCATCGCTCAGTCTTATAGATAGGATCATAGCTTGTTCATCATTTGCTATAGCTTGTTTATCATAATTTATTTAGTATTGAAGCCAACAGTTACCTTCAATCTCATAAGCTCTTCTCTTTTCTTACGTTGTTCCTCTGTTTCTTCCTGGTAAGTCCAAAGGTGGCTATTGTTTTTGAGGTGCTGTGAATCAAGGTTATGTAGAAGCGTTAAATATTCACAAGATTGACTTAGTTAAAGTCATACCTAATAATCATCAGTAACAATATTCGGTCTTATTGAGTGTATAAACGTAACACGAATGCGTCTATTGCAATTGGGTGCCTTTTACGAAATTTCTTTCATGCTATCATGACATAATATACTCAGCCTTTTCACAGCTCACTCACCTCCGCCAACTCTTTCAACCAGCTTTCTCGACTGTCAGAATCACAAGTGTCCGACTAAATAAAAATTTAATTTTCAGCTCTAATTTGTTATGAACAATATGAACAAGTATATTGCTGGAGCTATTTCACATGTCGATATTTAAAGTTACTTGGAATGAGTGGTAATAAATTGAATTGTGAATTTATATGATGAAAACGTATCTTTTGTCTCCTCACTACATGATTTATAATTTTAAGTAAAGATATGGCATTAATGACATGTGGTAACAACAGATCAAATATTCAATGATAAATTTAGAAATAGAGAAAACTTTTAACTCACCGGTGTCGGTGAAAAATAACGCAGAGTGGCGTCCCTCTGTAAAAATAGAATTTAAATAGATATATTATATTTCCTGAGTAACACGCACCTGTCACATAAATATGAGACGAATGCGCGGGGAGCGATTACTTCTCAACACCTACTTCATACTCTTGGCGCGATAGGCATTACATCTTATATTACCTTGTAGATTGCATGCATCTAACTAGCTAATGCAATTCCAGACTTCCCTTGCAACCCGAATAGAACAGAACTAGAGGCCGTATTTTTCTATAAAATTGAGCCGTCTTATTGACTCTCCTGTCACCCGACTTGAATATTAATATTCTATCTTATTTTACCACAAACTAATCACAAATAAACTGCAGCTTACCGCAAAGCTAACAGTTTTATTTTTTCTTGTGGACGGTTGAGGTAATCCAGATGAACCACTTTTCCCATTGTTGCGCAGCGCGGAACGCTTCGTGAACTTTTCAGGAACGATGTTGATTTTCTCGACCGGAGTTTGCTGTACAAATGGGAAAATGATACAGATGATGTTTGTAATGGTGTGAACTTCGTCATAAAGATGTTTAAACTTACCCAAGTTTCTCTTCCCCATGACCAGTTGCTACAACCACCACAGCAGTTGACCTACGTGAATAAAGTGTTTATTAAAGTCGACGACAAATCAAATATACGAAACTCAAATTCATGTTTGAAAATTAAATGAAGTTTCAATCCAGCAATAAAATATTTTTTTACAAAAGATAGAAGTTGTTACGACTAATATGCGAATATTTACCATATTGCGACAAAATCCTTTTACTTGGTCAAGTTTGGTCTTGGACGATGAGGCTTCATTAGCCGATGTTGACGCTTCATTGGCCCGCTATGAAAACATTAATCAAGATTTTAAAAGCAATAAATTGAAACCGCTCGTACATATTGAAAATAAGAATTATTTTGAACTCCAAAACTCGTAACGATTGGGGCACATTACTCGAAGAATGTTTGTAAACGCCAAGGCCAATCAGAAACGAAATAAAACTTTGTATAATGAGATATTGAAGATTGCTCTTCATATAAGATAACGTTGCATGAAACTGAAAGCAAATAAAGATTTGATGGGCGAAAATTCATTACATGGTTTTATAAAGCAAGTGCTAGCCTACAACTAGCCTAACTGAACATTGGTTTTGATGAGGACACTTTGTCCGAGACCCGTGATTTGAAAATGAACACGTCAAATTGTCGGGAAATCTTTAAATACATTTCAGGCGAATACAATCTTGGATTTCATATGTTTGTACCGGCACTGCAAGGCCAAAAAGCGAATGTAGAAATAGTCTACGATAGCAGGGTATTCTAAACTCGTCTTAACAAAAGTTACAGAAAAGAGACACTGTTCAGTGACATTTTGAATATTAGACTACATGAAACAGTAACGTTCAACGATTTATTCAATGTAAAACCTTAGCTTGCTTCAACGGAGATCTACTGCGCTTACCTCTTTTTCAGCCCTCTTTTGTTTTTTCAAACAAAGATCTTTCAGCTTAATGAGTTTCTTCGCTAAATAACTCTCCTGCTTGGTAGTTCTCCACCCTTTGCGTTGCAAATCGATAACTTTAGTTTTGCGACCCATTTTCGGGAAAGCTACTAAAAAGTGATTGCAAAATTCCTATTTTATTTTTTACATTTTCTTAATATATTGTCACGTCACACATATCGGTATCTAGGTGACGTCACAATTCCCCTGTATCTATGTGCGTGACTTCCTGTTGGGCGTTCATTCCGGGATAACAGCCAATCACAGAGAATTTTGGTGACGATCCGTTTCCCAAAACCCATTCCGACATGTGATGTCACGGAGCGTTGATGCATCGATCCTCGTCTTGTTTTGTGGGTCTCTGTTGGATCCTGGTCGTTGTTCTGCTCTACCGGATCAATTGTCATTATCATTTCCCGGATTTTCAAGCTGTAGGCTACTCAATACAGTTAATCTTTCCTAGGCTTGGGATGCCGAAGATTGTATTAGATGTGCACTTGTTGTATCTTTCAAAGCACATATAACTTGACCCTGACATGTTCCTATGCGATATAGATATATGTTTCAGGGTTATATCTGACATTGCTTTGGAACGCTAGTGTTGTCACGGAATTCCGTTAAATCTTGAATCGAATCTCTACTTGTGAGTCCCTAACAAATATTTCGATCATTCCTAATCCTACTGGTACCAAACGGCTTGATGAACCGACATTTTCAATTATCTATCTACCAACGTGAGCATATTTCCCAATTGCACATAACTTGAGACGTCGAATTAGTACTCTCTGGCTGATTGAAAGAACAAGTCTTTACATGAACATTGAATGGCAGTGCACATCTTGTACACACCTTAAAATCAAACCATCTGTCAAATGACAACCTAATATCTCCTATGTGGCAATGGGGAAGCCACTCAAATAGCGATTCGGACCATATTCACCCCTACACCCCGACCTGCGCCACTCAAATGAACAAAAGTCGAAGCATACAAAAACGATTGTTCATGGGCCGTCAGGTATCATTATTACCGTTTTACTTGCGTCATGTCGTATTTTTCGTAATGAAGAGTAGCCTATAAACAGTGAAACACATGATCAATTCGACACAACCAGACTATAATGAGACATGTTGCATATATTTTGTACGGCGACAAGCTCCTCATTAATGTTCATTTTATTTATCTGTTCTTTTTCGAACTTTTTATTCTGGCCATGCGGTTTTGTTGAAAAATGCTGGAACCTAACGTTACTATTCCATGCCCTCTCATAAATTCTGATTGCAATGTGATTCTTTATAGGAACATCGAAATTTGCATCTTTGTGACAATTTACTATTTCATTCAGTACTTGAATTATATTGTTAGATGTGGTGCAATTTCACTTTTTAAATCGTATTGCGTTGACTACTTCATATATATCTAGCATTAGTGTGTTAACTTTGGTATTCATAATATGTATCGTTTAATCATATAACCATTCCATCATGTAAAACGATATTACTAAGATTAATAGGCTAACAAAAACCACTCATTTATTTAATATGCAAGACAAAAGGTTTAAAATTAATATTTATTTCTGTATAAAACGAACTTTGTATTTCAATGGCGAATAGGCGATCCCATACACACCTTTATCCGTGGGCGGTAAAGAATATGCTTTCTGATCTGCTTCGATGCGGAAATGCTGTAAAATACCAACGATGAATAAAAACATTTCTTTACGAGCGATCTGCTCTCCCATGCAGTTTCGTGGCCCAACTGAAAAAGCGATGACGTATTTGCTGGGTAGAAAGTTATTGCCTTCGTCAAGAAATCTCTCCGGTAGAAATTCATCCGGATTTTCAAAAAGCTTCGGATCGCGATGAACTGCCCAGAAATTTGGCATGACCTGTGGCAGAAATATATCAATCAATCAAATCGTCTTTTATTAGCCATTCCGGTAAAGCATAACAAAACGAATACATGAAAAATCACAAAATATTTGTACCGAATGGCAGGATAACCGCGAAATGACCATTCGGTCTACACCTTGTTTTTTATAGAATTAGGAAATTCCCCGTTTATTATTTCGAAGCAGTGCTGTTCCGGCACTTTTAGGTTAACGTTCCTGGGAAAATTATACCTAGGTACCCGTAAGATCATGCTAGCAAAACTAGATATAGTGTCGGGTATTATCGTTGAGATATTTATTATATCCGGTAATACTCACGGGAGTGTCCTTCGGTATTTCATATCCGTTGATTTGCACGCAACTTGTTGTCTTTCTAGGCATGGAAAGAGGAGCCATTGTATGAACACGTTCTACTTCTTGTATAAATGCAGAAGTATAAGGCATCTTATTTTTATGTTTCCAACTTGGTGTTCCACTTCTACCTTGAAAAATGTCATAATACTAATTATACATGTAATTGTCTTAAATCATGAGTCGTCCGCAATTATACACCGTTGTGGCGCGAGGACACTCAATACTGGTCAATATGAATATTCTTGAATCATGTCGTGTGTATTGAAGATAAATTTTTTCGGGCTCTATAGCACGTGTTCGCTTACCCAGATGTAGAGTGACAATGAATAACTTATTTTATTCTCTCACGTGCACGCGAATATATAGTTTATAAGCAGCTGTAAATAAACATGTAAGGTGAACCATACCTATTACATTTAATAGTTCGGTGTCAATCATAGTCTGGCTCTCTGGATGTTGCGCCAACTCGAGAAAGATCCAAAGAAGAGCATCTGTTGTGGTTTCTATTCCAGCGTTGAAAAACTCGTTAACTGCATGAATGAGTTGCACATCCTATGACAAAGCACACAAGAGATTTTTAATTTCAATGTTTTACAAAAATTAGAATGTGTAAAGGCGATTACTTATCACGTTGAGATATAAATTAGTAGATGAATTTAGGCCTCAGTCCATGGTGAATATTATTGTCGCCCTAAATTATAACTATATTTAACGATAATAACGATAAATTTCTGGTAATTGGACATCGATGTAACAATACAGAAACACTTTTAAGGTTAGCAACGTCCTTTGAAGTTTTGAAAAGAATGCAGGCGGGAACCAACCACTATAAATTCTCATATAACCGTTTTATTATCATAAAAAATCGCTTAGACAGTTCTTTAGACATATTAAAGAAACGAATGATGTATCACATAAGTTAGAACTGCTTATGCGTGTGGAATTTCTATGATTTATAAGCAACAATGCTCCCACAAACGAATTAATTGCTAAATTAATCAGGTAACGACATCTGAATATTCACCGTGAAATTACCCTGCTGCTCCTTCTGTGCTTCAACTAAGAATTCATCGATGAAATCCCGTGGGTGTCGTGGATCAAATGTCAATTTATGTTCATCAACATATTCTTTAATCATTTCTGAATAAATATATATATATATATAGTATAAAAGATCGAGAAATATTTCATTAGACGATTCCTATAATACCTTTAATTCTCTTGACACTTTTACAAAACTTTGCGAACGTTGTACGAAACTTTGGTAGATGTCTCAAGACAGGAAAAAAGAACATAATTCCAAATAACTTGCCATCAGTTTCGTCTGTCCAGCTGAATGAAGAGTTTTTTAATATTCCCCATCCATATTTACCTACTATAATATTTTTATTAGCTTCAACTAATACGCACTGATTTGACTGGTGAGAGATGAGTTTATGGACTACAACCTATAGCACGCCAAACTAAAAGAATGCTAATCTTATCCGCAACAGATAGAATATATACAAGGCAAAAAATCAATTTTTGAAGAATCTTCAACGTTATGGATCGACGTCATAAAATTCATGTCATGTTAGTAGATTTCATAAGGATTTTATAGTGTACTGTTAAGATATGTAATTGAGTAAAACTCTAGAATGCTTACTAATCTTTCAATCGAGTGACAATTTCGATAAAACGTTCATCATCGTATGGCAGTCTTTGTCCAATGGTAATATTCATTACCGTGTTAGCAACAGCTTTACCAAAGTGAATCTAAAATCAAAAAAATATACGCTAGATGCTAGATTTCAAGTGAAATCTAAAATTGGGATAAGATGGATTCAAACGAATAAACTCTCGCCTTGACTTGTACATCAGGCAGAGGTATATAACAATATCAGGTAAAGCCAAAAATATTCATACGTAAGTTTATATTGGCGCTTTGGGCAACGATGTTGTCAAGGTTCGATCATTTTATGGGCCGTCTACAAATACGGTATATCACAATATTTGCAAAGAAACGATATTGTTTTCTTGGCCAGTGGTTTTTGAGCTATTTGGTAAAGCGGAACCCCTATGAAACATTGTGAAATAGTTCAATTGACTGAATTGCATACCGCTGCCGTGTGGATGGACCGGACCACCTGTAGCGATGTTTTTATCTCCTTGTTATATAAATGTACTGATTCTGTACATGATTTTTTCACTGCACATCGTTCAACATACCCCATTGTGCACACATTGGTGTCTAGGTCACTTTCAAAATACCCAACTGGGGGAATGTAGCAACTGCAGCTGTGGAAGCATAGCATATGAATATTTTTTGTAGATTTAATAGGTAGCTTACTTTTGGGTCAATAGGCTGTTCATTACTTTTGCAAAAAATCTCATTCAAATGTCTTATCTCGTCAACGACGGCATTTTCAACACCCCTTCTTGCTGATATACTGTTAAAAATGGAGACAACATAACTTTAGTAATTTAATGTAAAAAATATGACAATAAAATAGACATAATCCGTGAGGTTTTTCAGAAGCATATCATGAGCACGTGGTTATAATAACGATTATGATTATCATCATGATTATAATAACGATTATGTAATCACCATTTACAGGCGATTTTTCTTCGATACCGAACATTATCTTTTAAAGTCTTGTAGGCGATAATCGAGTAGGTAGCTAAACACAATGAGAAAATGTTTACCCTCTAAGTGCCTTCGCTTCAAACACTCGTTGACTCTCCCACATTTCGCCATAATCAATTAATCCCATACCATGGCCGAACCCCGTTAGCACTTGCAGCATGACGACATCAGGTCTTCCAGAGAAAGCATGTTCATTTTTAGCATAAGCCTGAACGAGAATATTATCAAAATATTATCACGTTTTACATATAAATCATTTTGTCACAATTGCAAAGGTTATTCATCGACGAGCTATAGCAATCAGTTTATTGAGTTGATGTGGCCCACTAGCAAACATGTGATTATCAATAACTTTTTTGTAGACATTCTAATTTTTTTTGTTAATGAAACAATATTTTAACAATATTTATTTAACATACCCCTAGTATACTTTTGTAATCATTTAGCACTATCCAGTCTTTAGATCCTATTCTAACCGAGAAAATAGATCCATACTTCTTCCCGAGTTTCATGTAAGTAATAGCAGGATTTTCGCCGAGAAAGGGAGCAAAGCCGACGAATGGCAATCCCATTGGCCCGGGAGGAAAATTGGTTCGCTTGCCTCGATGATAGAAATATACAAATAAAATAAAGGAAAAAAGGGTCAAAAGTGTCAAAATATCCATCTTCGGAATTTGATTCAGTTATACCACGTAAGTGTAAAATGAGTAGTTTTCAGTCTATGACATAAGAAAAATGTCGAAAGTTAACAATGATAGTAGACCATAAACACACACGCTTAAATTTCCCATTCCAATCCGGAGATGAAAGTTTTGTAACCACTTATTTGAAATAAAATAGATCAATCAAGGTATGGTTTACCTAGTCATGGATTTTGGCTTCTAAATTGATACTTCTGTAAATCCTCACTTTGTAATTGTGTTATCACTGTTGGGAAATTCGTTTTGATTAAATGACTATCTAATTAAAGCATATTTTGTTCATTATTCTCCCTGGTTACACATTACAAACGTTCAGTTTCTGCGAACAAATACTGGTGATTTTTGTTCACTGAAAATTATGGTCCAGTAACATGCAACTTATACTCATATTTCATCTGAAGCATTATGGATAACTAGCAATGCCTGCAGGGCACACATATATACCAATACTGTATAATAACAAAGTTAACGAAACAATTTATCGATTGTGTATGCACTATATCTTTCATCCATTTATTTATTTGGCGTTCCTCAGAGTGGTACTTTGATTTCACGCAATATTGAAAAATGAATAATATAATTTATATATAATATCTCATATCTGTTCCGTGTCCGGCCTTACAGTTTTGTCTGCGCCAAGACAACTTGTAGACTTTGTGCTCTCTGTTCGGCAATTCTAAGCCCAAAATCAAAACAACCTGTGGCGTCCATATAAGTCACTTCTCACTTTATTTCGTCCCTGACTTAGAAATCGCTGACCAAATATTTAACTTTGAGCAATCTAATCTGCGAGTTTATAATGTTATGCTCCATATCGTTCTGAGCATAATCGGCCCGAAACCGCGACTTAACCAGCAATAAATGCATTCGAAGAGGCAGAATTAGAGGCTTTTGCACATCAGCACGCAGCAATACCATCTACTTAATTGGTCTCCATCGCTTTGGTGACCAAGCGGAACATCGCCAGTCGTTTTTGGCGTACGTTTCTGATTATAGGCGAGCGTGCACTAAGCTCTATTTAAGAATCAACGGGGTCATTTTTATATAATCTTGAAAACAAGCAAGTATGGCATAGGTAAGATAATTCATCCGTGTTAATTATTAACTATAGCAAAGCATGTCTGCTTAAAATAGCAACATTGATCACGGTTAGTGAATAAGTCAAAAGCGATATTCGACCAGTCTCTAAATTTCTTACATGTATGCCAAGAATAACTTTGGAGAGCATGCACAATTTGTAATCATTTCTTAAATTTCACCAAATATATCAATATATCCATATCCATATGATTTTTGAAGCTAAGAAAAATCTTCAGGGAAAGGTCATTCCCTCAAAAATTAAAGAAAAGTCGCTTCCGAGCGCGGTCGACCATTACAATACAGTTAGGTGAATTGTCCAAGATAAAATCAGCGCAAACTTTGTTGCAATTTTCCGAACTACATATAGGCCTTAATAAAAAAAAACTGAACTATCTTCTTTTCTCTATAATATTACTGCAATAATTTAGGAAATGACTATGCTAAAATTGGTTGCCCGTACTATTGGCAACTTAGTATTTTTATATAAAAGGTTATATTGATGATGTTACTTAGTTTTACTTAGGAAGCCAGGGATGTGTATATAAAATTTAGTTGAGAGTTGAGGAAAGTGGAGATGCCCGAAATGAAATTTCGCGTTGCGGTGTTTTGCAATCATTTAATTTTTGGCATTGTCTTGATTCACAGCCAAAATTTATATTTGATCGATTGAGTTATCGCATGCAACCGACAGAAACAGTTTCAAAATAGTTATACTATAAATAGCAAGATTTTGTATGCAACAATGTTAGCATTAACACAAATATAGAACAATATTGAAAGATTTTATAGCTACAGAGCAATGAGCATGCTCATTGAACAGAGCAAATACATGTAGACATAGAAAATTGAAAAAAAATGAAAAAAAAATTGTATTTTAGTGTGCAGGGAGACGCGATAAATTAGTAATGATTTTCGCGAAACGTCATCTATGAGGGAGTCTTACATTAAATTATACCGAAGAAAAAAAACTGATAGCATTCTAACAAAATTTTTAGATACGATTAAGCTTAGAAGCAATATACATATAATAAGCAGAAAATGAGACGGAAGATACGTACGTGCAGAAGACTTGTGGAAATGCTGAAAAAATCACTCATGTTCGCTAAATTCGATTCAGCAGATAAACAAACTCCAGCTCGCAAAATTGCACCGAGTACTTCTAACTCCATTGTTAGGTAACATTAGAGGCAAACACTACGTAATAGAAAGTAAACGACAAAGAAAGGTAAAATGAATTTATTGATTCAGATACACAGCATTTAAAATAAGGAGCAATAAACATTTAAATGCAATATGCAAAATATTCGCTGAATATTTGGTTTCTGCGAGACTATCTACTTATCCTTCTTCTATGCTTTTGTGCCGGTGGATCCGTATGCATATACTGTATTGCAAGGATGCTGTAGCAAGAATAGAGATAACAATCCTAAGTGATTCAAGAGTCTTGCTACACACTAACACAAATATATTTCTGTAACGTTTCGTCTGACCAAGGTCAGACTTCTTCAGACATACATACTCCATACACAAATATTCAACCATATTTTAGGTATGTTGAATACACTTTTGTTAGTTTTCGCGGCGCATTTGGCAACTCGCCGCGGCGAACTAGTACTGTAGTAGCGCACCTTTTGGGACCGCTGCATTACACCATTTTTCTTTATCAATTTTACCCTTTTATTGGACACGTTTATTGAACACGTTTAGTGGCCATAACGATCGTTTCAAAATTTTGTTGTTGTTGTTGTTGTTCTTGTTCTTTGACACGTTTTTAAAAAGTCGCTTTTCTCTTCGAATACTGGACCAATTGCTTTGAAATTTTCAGTGGTTAAAGATTAATTTTTTCGCTAGAAGGCTATTACTTTTATTTATTTCAAAATTTTGCGTGAATTCTATGAAATTTGATATTTCGTCTAAAATTTTGCTGTTTTATTTTTTATCCATGGGAACACGGATTTTAGTCAGTGTCATGACTGGCTGTACGTTTTGATTCTGCAAAATTCTTGCTACTGGAAATTCAGAACTTTTTTGAGGGTACCGGTAGCGTCAAAGGTACCGGTAAGGACTGATTCGCTCTGGTCTAACGTGTCCATATATTTGTGCGTAGCTCTCTTGTTTTTGGTGTTCCGCGAAGCGAGATAAAAAGCGTAAGTGTTCCGTGGCCAAAAAAGTTTGGGAAACGCTGCTCCATTGCAAAAAACGTGCTGCTATCGGTATATGGACCTTTCCTCAGGCGATCCTTCCTCGATATCTTAATAAATTTAACCATTTTTTTTATACTACTACCACCAAAGTTTACGTTTGGGGTAGACTATGAATTTTTGTAAGATTTGAAATGGTTTTTGGACTATTGTAACTGAGACTCATCTTTGTCTTTAATAAATCATATCTGCTTAAATTTGCATATGTCTATTTATGTACTATTGTAGTATTATTTTTTTTCATAGTGTTAAAATGATGTACTAATTAATTCTCATATATAGGCTCATTTAGAATTAAGTATCTATTTTGGAAATGCACTCCTCTTTTTCTACCATTAAATTAATTTAAAACAAAAACCACATTATGTTACTGTTATAAATGTGTCATTTTGCACAATAAATTCCCAACCCTGATTAGATGAATTCAAAATTTATCCTCGTTTTGTAAATAGTGCAAATAGTTCTCTATAAACTGAGAGTTAAAAAAAAAGAACCTGTGGCAATTTATGTATTTATTCATGTGTTGTATTGGGTGGTAACTGACTCAGATGACCGTAACTGGTCGTATCGTTACCTCCCAGTCATACCGAAAACTTTTGTTTCACTTATTGGACACGTAGTGGACATAACGATCGTTTCAATATTATGTTGTTGTTGTTCTTGTTGTTCTTGTTCTTGTTCTTTGACACGTTTTTAAAAAGTCGCTTTTCTCTTCGAATACTGGACCAATTGCTTTGAAATTTTCAGTGGTTGAAGATTAATTTTTTCGCTAGAAGGCTATTACTTAAATTCTATATGAATCCTATGAGATATGATATTTCATACAAAATTTCGCGGTATTTATTTTTACCCATGGGAACACTGTTTTACACTTATTTCAAGCGGTTTCGCGATCGATTGTCTTGCTCAGTACTACAGCTACTGTAGGTCGGTACTGGTAAGTTGCCATACCGGTGCCGTAACGCAGTGAAATTGACTTATTCCTTCCGCGGTATTACTAATGCTGCAATGCAAGTTTTATAGCCTATCGTATGCGGAACGGAATATCAGACCTACAGGTTCGGTACCGGTACTGGTAGCTCAGTACGTAAGTACGATACTGGTACTGGTGCCGGTACCGGTGTCTTACCACAATGAAATTACCGTAACTTATTCTTTCACGGTCCTACCAGTGCAGTAATGCAAGCGTTGTAGCACTTGTAGCCTACTATATTTGTTTATTTTGATGAGAGTCTACTGGAAACAACATAAAATTTGAAAGGGAAGAATTGTTCTGTGATCAATTATCTGTCCTAAAGTGTAAATAACATAAAATTTGCAAGGGAACAACTGTTCTGTGATCAATTGCCGTATATGGCCTACAGTGTACAGGTAAGATGCTGGCTGACAGCTAACCGGTACTGGTAGCTCAGTACGTAAGTACGATACTGGTACTGGTGCCGGTACCGGTGTCTTACCACAATGAAATTACCGTAACTTATTCTTTCACGGTCCTACCAGTGCAGTAATGCAAGCGTTGTAGCACTTGTAGCCTACTATATTTGTTTATTTTGATGAGAGTCTACTGGAAACAACATAAAATTTGGAAGGGAAGAATTGTTCTGTGATCAATTATCTGTCCTAAAGTGTAAACAACATAAAATTTGCAAGGGAACAACTGTTCTGTGATCAATTACCGTATATGGCCTACAGTGTACAGGTAAGATGCTGCCTGACTGCTAACTCAGTACCGCTTGACACGTTTTTAAAAAGTCGCTTTTCTCTTCGAATACTGGACCAATTGCTTTGAAATTTTTAGTGGTTAAAGATAAAAATTTTCTCCAGAAGGCTATTACTTCTTTTTTCGCTATGACGTCATCAAAATTATGTGACTCTACGTGTCCATATATTTGAGCATAGCTCTCTTGTTTTATTATTATTATATTTATTATTATTTTTTTTTTTTTGGTTGACGAAATAATAAATTCTCTCTCTCCCTCTGACTTCCTTGTTTACTTCGTGACATTGGCCAATCAGCAAGATGCAAAAAGTGGCGTAACAATACTCCCTTTTCGCATCCGCTCAGACACTTTTCTCACTCAGACAGATTTTCAAGCGTGGTCGTAAACATTACCTCGTTTTCGCGTTTTTGAACTCTATTCGTTAGTTTTCTGTTGTGTTTCGGAAACTTAAATATAAATCAGATAATTCAATGATCACTCTGTCTTCTCAGGAGTTTTAATTCAATTGCAGTAATAAGAAATTAGTGTAGAAATAGCTGTAATAGACTAGGCTAAAAAAATTCACCGGTACTTTTAAAAAACAGATTGTTGTATGCGATGAATCATAATGATGGTTTGGAACACATACCCCATTTTACAGGCGCCAACTGGCGGAAGCACTCTAAAATCAGCCCCGAAAACTTTGTATTGCAGAATTTTAGGGGGGGTGAAAGGTCCATTGTGATTGCTTTTCGAACTTTTCTGGGTCAAAGGTTGATGAAATTTTCGGCGCAGTGTTTCGAATTCAGGGAGAATCCCTTCTACTGTCAGCGGCCAGGCACGCGTTTACTCCCAAGGACAAGGTTAGGTCGAGCGCACGGTACGGTACCGGTACCTATCGTGTATTACCCGGTAGGCCTACCTGTACTGTCATACCACAGTAACAGCATAGGGATGGACGCGCAAGACAGACGGATAAACACGATTTTCTTTATACCCTACCGGTAGTACGGTAACCGCCTGGCGGTATGGTACGGTACCGGTACTGCACCAGTACAACTGCAAGGAGACCTACGATACCGGTCTTAAAATTCTATTGGCGGTCAGCCGATAGGTACCGGTACCGCAGGATTTCACAGTCTGACATGCGGCTTCGTACAAGACAATCACGGAATCCAGGAATCAGTGGTGGGATGTAACGTAGGTACATTAACTGTAAGTGTGCCGGTACCAGTACATCAGTACTGGCAGTAAGTTATCCTTGTATCGACATTACAAATTTTAGAATTCAGTGATTTCAGATATCTTGGTACCGTACAATGCAGAATGCACTAGAGCAAAGCATTAGGTACTGCCCTTACTGGGTGGAGGCTAACTCGCCATGAGGGCTAACTCGCCATGGACCACTCGCCATGCGACGGCGGTTAACGGGTTAGCCTGCAACTGTGTGGAGGCTCTTCTTGTAATGGGAGAGGGAAAGGTGGCTGTTTATACTAACAACTTCAATAGTAAGGATAAAAATATTAAATTAAATGTGTTTGGTTACAATACCTACTGTGCAAATGGTAACAAAGTGACAAGAAAACGTGCTTATATGTCGGAAGGCATACCGGTACCGTACGGTACTCGACGCGCAAAGGATGTCTCAACTTATCATTTTCATCTTAAGCCATGCCTAAATATTATCATCATATTAATTGATTGTATGATGCTTCTGACATCCACAACAACGTCTTAAATATATCAAAAGTTCTAATTTTGCTCCGGCAGTCTCATTTTTTCTAACAGCCGTTGATGCGAGCAGAGGAGGGGAGGGGAGAGAGAGCTAACTCGCCATATCTATTTTCTTTATAATTGACGATCGACATCGCGAGTTCGAGAGAGAGAGAGAGAGGCTAACTCGCCATGTCTTTATTCTTTATAATTGACGATCGACATCGCGAGTTCGAGAGAGAGAGAGGGCTAACTCGCCATGTCTTTATTCTTTATAATTGACCATCGACATCGCGAGTTCGAGAGAGAGAGAGGGCTAACTCGCCATGTCTTTATTCATTGAATCATTTATAATGAAATCACATCGCCATACGAGATCCGCAGAGAAGAGAGGCAACTCGCATGCTTATATAATTGACCATCGACATCGGAGTTCGAGAGAGAGAGAGGGCTAACTCGCCATGTCTTTATTCTTTATAATTGACGATCGACATCGCGAGTTCGAGAGAGAGAGAGGGCTAACTCGCCATGTCTTTATTCTTTATAATTGACCATCGACATCGCGAGTTCGAGAGAGAGAGAGGGCTAACTCGCCATGTCTTTATTCTTTATAATTGACCATCGACATCGCCATTACGAGAGAGAGAGAGAGGGCTAACTCGCCATGTCTTTATTCTTTATAATTGACGATCGACATCGCGAGTTCGAGAGAGAGAGAGGGCTAACTCGCCATGTCTTTATTCTTTATAATTGACCATCGACATCGCCATTTCGAGAGAGAGAGAGAGGGCTAACTCGCCATGTCTTTATTCTTTATAATTGACGATCGACATCGCGAGTTCGAGAGAGAGAGAGGGCTAACTCGCCATGTCTTTATTCTTTATAATTGACCATCGACATCGCGAGTTCGAGAGAGAGAGAGGGCTAACTCGCCATGTCTTTATTCTTTATAATTGACCATCGACATCGCCATTACGAGAGAGAGAGAGAGGGCTAACTCGCCATGTCTTTATTCTTTATAATTGACGATCGACATCGCGAGTTCGAGAGAGAGAGAGGGCTAACTCGCCATGTCTTTATTCTTTATAATTGACCATCGACATCGCCATTACGAGAGAGAGAGAGAGGGCTAACTCGCCATGTCTTTATTCTTTATAATTGACGATCGACATCGCGAGTTCGAGAGAGAGAGAGGGCTAACTCGCCATGTCTTTATTCTTTATAATTGACCATCGACATCGCCATTTCGAGAGAGAGAGAGAGGGCTAACTCGCCATGTCTTTATTCTTTATAATTGACGATCGACATCGCGAGTTCGAGAGAGAGAGAGGGCTAACTCGCCATGTCTTTATTCTTTATAATTGACCATCGACATCGCGAGTTCGAGAGAGAGAGAGGGCTAACTCGCCATGTCTTTATTCTTTATAATTGACCATCGACATCGCCATTACGAGAGAGAGAGAGAGGGCTAACTCGCCATGTCTTTATTCTTTATAATTGACGATCGACATCGCGAGTTCGAGAGAGAGAGAGGGCTAACTCGCCATGTCTTTATTCTTTATAATTGACGATCGACATCGCGAGTTCGAGAGAGAGAGAGGGCTAACTCGCCATGTCTTTATTCTTTATAATTGACGATCGACATCGCGAGTTCGAGAGAGAGAGAGGGCTAACTCGCCATGTCTTTATTCTTTATAATTGACGATCGACATCGCGAGTTCGAGAGAGAGAGGGCTAACTGACCAGTCTTTTGCCATGTCCTGTCGAAATATTCGGCAAATCTATTCAACCCGTCGGTGGTCATTTTTCCTCGCAGAGATAGGAACAGCGACGGGATGAACATATCTGGAATATAACACAGGGCCATGACTTGCTTCATTAAATCTCTCGTCCCGATGTCCCTGAAAAATGGAAGAGTTAGCCCTCTCTCTCTCTCGAACTCGCGATGTCGATCGTCAATTATAAAGAATAAAGACATGGCGAGTTAGCCCTCTCTCTCTCTCTCGTAATGGCGATGTCGATGGTCAATTATAAAGAATAAAGACATGGCGAGTTAGCCCTCTCTCTCTCTCGAACTCGCGATGTCGATGGTCAATTATAAAGAATAAAGACATGGCGAGTTAGCCCTCTCTCTCTCTCGAACTCGCGATGTCGATCGTCAATTATAAAGAATAAAGACATGGCGAGTTAGCCCTCTCTCTCTCTCGAACTCGCGATGTCGATCGTCAATTATAAAGAATAAAGACATGGCGAGTTAGCCCTCTCTCTCTCTCGAACTCGCGATGTCGATCGTCAATTATAAAGAATAAAGACATGGCGAGTTAGCCCTCTCTCTCTCTCTCGAAATGGCGATGTCGATGGTCAATTATAAAGAATAAAGACATGGCGAGTTAGCCCTCTCTCTCTCTCGAACTCGCGATGTCGATCGTCAATTATAAAGAATAAAGACATGGCGAGTTAGCCCTCTCTCTCTCTCGAACTCGCGATGTCGATCGTCAATTATAAAGAATAAAGACATGGCGAGTTAGCCCTCTCTCTCTCTCGAACTCGCGATGTCGATCGTCAATTATAAAGAATAAAGACATGGCGAGTTAGCTCTCTCTCCCCCTCTCTGCTTGCAATCAACGGCTGTTAGAATAAAATGAGACTGCCGGTAGCAAAATAGAACTTTTGATATATTTAGCGTTGTTGTTGATTCAGAGCTCATACAATCAATTAATATGATGATATATTTAGCATGCTTAAATGAAAATGATAAGTTGAGACATCTTTTGCGCGTCGAGTACCGTACGGTACCGGTATGCCTTCCGACATATAAGCCCGTTTTCTTGTCACTTTGTTACCATTTGCACAGTAGGTATTGTAACCAAACACATTTAATTTAATATATTTATCCTTACTATTGAAGTTGTTAGTATAAACAGCCACCTTTCCATCTCCCATTACAAGAAGAGCCTCCGCACAGTTGCAGGCTAACCCGTTAACCGCCGTCGCATGGCGAGTGGTCCATGGCGAGTTAGCCCTCATGGCGAGTTAGCCGTCAGCCCTCTTACTAATCCTGTAATCTAAGTATTTATTTCATTATTTAACTTATTGCCATACCGGTACCGGTACTTGTATACGGTAATTGCTCATTTTTATATTCTGATAACAGAATAAAAAATATTTAGAACTGATCCTTACGGTACTGCTTTAAGACGAAGAATTCATAATGTCTGAAAACAAAGTTTTGGCAATCGAATTAGAGACTTGGGCTAAGGAACAAATGGGTTTCTCATCGATTGTGAGATCGGACAAGAGGGAGATTCAAACCGATTTGATTCCTGTCTGTAAAGGAACAGCAATGATGAGTCTTTGGAAGGATGTAATAAATGTGATAAAGTCTAAAAAATCTGCGGGTGACATTCGTAAAAACCTAATTTTAGAAAATCTTATGGCCGAAGCATTACGATCATATACAACAGTTGAAGAAAACTTGAGGGAATCTACAGCATTAGATAAAGAAATTGAATCGCTGGAACTTCAACTTCAAAGCTACAAAGAAGATTTGCAGGTGAAAATACAATGCAGACTATATTTGCAGGATATACAATTTCTAAAATACAAAAATTGAAATTGATAACTGTTTATAATGCACAGTGTGACTGTGTCTCTATAAATTCCTCTAAAAGTTGTACGACTATTTTTTCCTTTCCAACTTTTTAGAATACCGTTTATGGATATTGACTCTGTTCTAATAGATTTCCTTTTTTCATTTTTGTTCTCTAACTCTTACTTTCTTGTAGTCATCTATTGTGATAACTTAAAAAATATCCTATGTGAGCTTATAACAACAGTATACATATTATGTGATAAGTAGGCCTATATTAAATTTGCTGATTGATTTTTTTTACATTTTCACAGGATATTGATTTGAAAGTAAAAGCAGTCAAAGATGATGTGAAGTCAAATCAGATGAAAGCTTGTTTACATCGTAATTCCAGCGGATATCTGAGGCACAAAAACTTTATGCTAAAATCTTATCAAAAATGGATTAGTGAACTTTGCGCTACTTATTTTAAGCACAATGAGGACACAGAGCCTCGATCTTGCAGTCTAGCATTGAACAAACTTTTCTCACAATTAGAAAATGACCTAAAATCAAAAGAGTTGAATTCAACTAAAAATCATGATAAAATTGATAACCAATGGTGTTTCATTCGTGAATTGATGCAAAAATTTGCTTCAGATGTGATTGCCTGTAATTTTCAGCAACTCGTAGATTCATCAACAGCCGTAATTGTTGAAGAAGAAAAAGCTATACATTTGCAGGAAGAATTGGATGGTTTAAGAGCTAAATATGGAATTGAAGACACAACTGAAAAACAAAATGCTCTAGCTACAGTTCAGAATATGCTTCAAAATTGGGAACTCGAATGCGTACAAGTTCTCACGCAGTGTTTGAATAGTGAAAGGAATGCAGAGAATATGTTGTTGCAAGCTGAAACTGAAAGAAATTACATTATTCAAAGCTTTCAAGCAGAATACAATCTTTCACCAACAATTCTACAACTATTAATTGATGACCTTGATACCAAGGTCGAGTTTGCTAGTGTTCAAGGTTGCCTTCGATCATTTCAAGCTTCTTTTGCTAGATTGCATCGTGATATTAAAATGAAAACAGATGAACATAACCAACTAATGAAGTTGAAGAATGAAATTGATGGCTTTTCTGAAAGCCTTGCTGTTCATCAAACAAATATTATTGAAATTATAAAACATAATTCAACAGTCAAGTCAAAGATACAAGAACGCCAGTCTGAAGTGATCAATGCAGCGAAAACTTGTATTATTGCGAAACGACAATGGCTTAATCAGAGTTGCACTGATTTACTATCAGTTATGCATACTTGTTGCTCCTTTTTGGGACATGCAGATGTAAATAAAATTCGGAGGATAATGTTAGATAATACGGGTTTGACGCCACTCTGTCATTTGGGAATATATACCTCCAATAGCTTATCTTATCGAAAGTGTGGGCATTCACTGCGATTTTCCGGCCACAGAGCTCCAAGTTCATTATTGCAAAGGATTTCAGATATTAAACATGAAATTGCTCGAGCCGAGAATCTTCAGCAGGAAAATTCTGACTTTTCTTCAAACATGACTGAAAAATGTTGCCATGTGACTAATCTAGCTAAGAGAGTAGAAGGGATTTCAGAAGAAACCACTGAGTCGATTTGTAGGAAATATAAAACTGGCATGGGTGTAACTAAAGATGCATTAACTAAGACTCAAACATTAGAATCAATGATTAAATCATGGTATGAGCAGCCTGCCCAATACCAGACACCTTGGGTAACTGCTAATGGTATGACATGGGAAGAATATAGAAACAAGCTTGAAAAGCTATAAAATACAATTCTTATTTTTATGTTTTTTGATAAGCGCATGAATCTTTGAATGGTTTTCAAACAGAAAATCAGTATTTGTGTCAACCTTTAAATAATGACACATTTCATAATTTTGCTTGACTTAAAACTGAAGTACGGTAGTCAAAAATGTGGTGTGTGCTCAAAATTATTCTTTCGTATTGAACCCTGAAATTGATAGAGCTTGGTTGCATACCAAGTGTATCTATGGATTGCTGCTAAATAGTTTTTGTTGGTTTCCTCTTTGCAAATAATTGATGAATACATTTTAATCTTTTTAGTGCTTGAAGATGGATGGAGGTTATTGGGACCTCCGGAAGTATGCACACCAAGATGGCGCACAACCTGAACTCAGGTTGTGTACCAGGTCAGGGTTCAGGCTGTGCGACATCTTGGTGCGCATACTTCAGGAGTGCCGGTTATTGCTTGTATTTTTACAAATTTAGTACTTTGAGGCCTGATGATTCACCCAAAATAATTTTTCTGATTTTTTTCAATTCGAATGCAAACCTCCACACATCGTTTGTTATGATAATTCTATTACTATTCCATATGACATTCAGCACAATTCTTTTGACATTTTGCTGACATTGCGGTAACTGTAATACATAAACTGAGAGTTCCTTAAGTACTATACTTCCCACATCTCTATAGTTCCGAGACCACCTGAGTGGCAGTATCAAAATGTAATGAAGAATTGTTGGCCAGCATTATAAAATGTATTTTGGCCACATAAGCTATCATTATATTTTTCACATAGAAAAGGGACAACCCGTTTTTTAAATAGGTATAAAAACTTGCAAACAAATGTTCATTTAATATGCCGAATTGTAAATGTATCATATCTATATTTTTGTTTGTTATTTTCCACTAGGTACTAGACTATAAACACTGAAAATACTATACAAAATGAGGTATAGGGCGGCAATATTGGACAAAAGATTAATGGTGAGTCTCCAATAAGACTTGAAAAAGTTTTTTCACTTTCTAGAGCTAAGTTTTGCTTACTCAACAGCAAATGTAAAGTTTCAAATTTCATATTTTTATCTCAGGAAAGTGTGGCAAGTCAGTTTGGTATACCAGTGAATAAAATATTCAATGATCCGCGAATACCAATGCCACCAGAAAAAGCAGTAGAAGATATAAAGAATGAAAAGCTTCTGTTTCAAGTTCTTAAACAGGTTGATTTAATTTCTTATAGCTGCTGAATCATACAGAATAATTGGACCTGCAATAACTTGACAATTTGAAAATTATTCTTTATTATCATTTGTAGCTTCCAAACTGGGGAGTTGGACGGTTATTCATTTTCAAGCAAGACATGACTGGTTTTTATGATGATCCGACTTACTGGAGAATAACCAGAGTTCTTGTTGATCAAGATGATCATGTAAGTGAAATTTATTGATTTGCCATTTTTTGTTGGTTGTAGAATTTTTTTTATCAGGAGCCGGTAATTACCTGTATCATAACAACTTGATTCGGCATGTTTATTCATTAACTTAAATATGGATGAGAGTAGGACAGGTAAAAATAAATCGATATTCAATAAATGTATCTGGCAAGTAGTAGATGGTAAATGGGGCTGGGAATTCCAGGGAAAACACTTTAACTGTTTACTGGGTAAAATTAACTGGTTAACCGCAGCGTGACGTTTGACATAATAATTTATAATTTTGGCTTGTTACGTCACAATGATTACAAAGCAATTTTGGGTGATCTTATCCTGCTATCGACATGACATTGAATATACGATTTTGTAATACAATTGTGAACAAAATATTTTTACCGAAAACTGACTTTATCATTGTCAAATTTTTTATTCAATTATTGTTCACATTTATTGGGTCCTTACCAATAATACAGTTAGTGTTGTTCTTTAGAATTAAATGCCACAGGAGATAAATTTAAGAAATTTTCCTATGCTGCAGTGAAATATTATCGTCTAGTAGCCATTGAAAATGTTTTGTATCAACAGGATCTGAATTTTGGCATAGCATGGGGGATATTCACATGGAAAGGTTGGTGTGAAGAATATGAAAAACAAATTCCGAGAGTGAGTAAGGTTTTGTTATTAATGAGGTTGATGTCCCGAATGCTCACCAAACATTTAAGAAATAGTATTATGGAGTTGTCCACTAATTACATGTTATATGGTATTTATCTTCTGTCTAATTTTTCCAATATTCTAACTAAGGTATTATGAATGTCTAATGTGTTTCTGCTGATTTCATTATTCTTCTAATAAATGTGTTTTTCTGATTGTGCTTTCTCCATAAATTCACACACATCCTGATTCATTTCAATGAGGAGAAATTTTAGTAGTCGTTATTATATCAGCAAAGATTCTTTTAAGTAATTTCATTTTTTAATGCTAACGCTACTGTTGCATTTGTTGTAAAGATACACATATATACAGCTCCTCATTCTCAGCTTTCAACTATTTGACTGCAGGACCACACAGACGCACTGTGTGACTTTTTTTCAGCACATCATCCACAGGGTATTTTTCTTTTATTTTTAGATAAATAGGCATGGTTGGAGACTCATTCCTAAGTTGGATGAACCCCACTTTACAAATTTTGTGCCAAAATCAAAAGAAACTAAAGAAGTTCCTCTGTACTTCAGGACTCCACCTTTACTCACAGAAATGCTCAAAGCTGAAAAGTTACAAGAGGTATGAAGTATATATTTATTGTTGTTAAAATGAGATGTGTGATCTTGGTGAAAATTTGTTTCAAGCATATAGGATAATTAGTAATGGTTTGCGTTTATTACTAGAAATGATTGAATATATGTCCTAATATCAATCAGCCTCTTGTGATACCGTATCAATTTCGAGAATATATATAGTCGGACCACATAATCTGATTTTAGATTTTAATATTTTATTATAAATTTTCTCATTTTGAATACTTGTTGGATGGTGGTTAATTTGAGTGGGGACTTGCCTGACTCTGTAATGTTTTATTAACAGAATTATTATGTATTTATTAACAGAAATCACCAGATGCAAACCTGCAACCCATGATAAAACTTCTATTGGACAGAAATAGAGAATGTATTGAAAGGCAAAGATTGGATGATGGAAGTTTGGTTTGATCATTCAATACATCTATCTGGTTGTTTGTAATGGGAAATCGAGAATGTATTAGCTGATAAAGATTCTGACTCCTGGTCTAGAACCAAAAAACTGTGTGGAGTGCTGATGCCTAATCTTCCTTTGCTCCGTCCGCGAAAATGACTTTAAGCATCCATATGATTGTTTGTTCCAAAAAAGTAGATGTTACAAGTTTCAAATGGATTTTAAGTTTGGACAAACACAAATCATGTTTTATGTTTATGCCCGCCTTTGTATTTCAAATTGGAAATGTTGATTGTTATGTTCAATGTATACTTTGAAGTTTTAACTGGTAGCTGATGATCTATTTTCAAATCATCCTTCTGATCAAAGATACTTTGACCAGTTCCAATGATATTCAGAATTCCTAATAGTTGAATACAATTTTGGGTACTCTGAAGTATGCACTCCAAGATGTCGCACAACCTGAATCCTAACCTGGTACGCAACTTGAGTTCAGGTTCATACTTCAGGATGTCCCAACTTTGTCCATCTGTAAGTGCATGGTGCTAAGCGTTATGAATACATTAGCAGTCGCACCTCTGATTACTATACATGGGTTTGCTGGTTAGAATCATGTGACAATCTTGTGCCATAGTATTGCGGAACTCCCAACAACAGTGTGGTCATGCAACCGCTGTCCCCTATAGTATACGGCTTCCTTCACCACAAGGTTCATGCATCTGAAACAAATAACTTGCTAACTATGGCTATCCGTACACGCCATGGATTCACAATTGGACGAGAGGTCTTGGTTTATCGTATGTTTATCATCCTTCCTCTCTCCCGGGACAAATATTGATATCCTATCCCGAAAACAGGACGTAGTTCTTCCGTTTATCAGATAAGAAATGATATTGGTCGTGCATTTTATTGTTTTCTTTCTAATAATACACATTCTGACAAAGTCATTTTTATTTTGTTGAAATCGAGAACAAAAGACGTCATATTGTTGCATATCATCTTTATTAGCGATATTTTGTTCTGTCGAGTTCAGAAAACACTTGGTTTAATTCCTCCCACTTCTCAAACATTCGAAGTGGGCCATTTATTATATTTACTGCAAAATTCATTTCCCCATAAGTTATTGTCACTCGAACAGGAGAAATATATAATATTTTTTGATCTATTTCTTTCTGATGCGGTTTTTATATCAGGCGAGAGATAAAGAATTTGGGGAGCTCCAGAAGTATGTGCACCAAGATGGCGCACAACCTGGATATAGTATGTGAACCAGGTTAGGGTTCAGGTTGTGCGCCATATTGGTGCACATACTTCGAGAGTGCCGAATTTGGTAGCAGAGCAAATAACCTAGCATCCATGGCTTATCCGGGCAATAAAAAGCATCAGGGCCGGGCGAATAATTCTAAATAACTTAGTGAACACAATATTAAAAAGGTACGAATTTGAATAAGCAGCCGTTCGAAATAAACGATTTCCTAAGATACGGGGCGTTTTTAGCACAAGCGGTGTCGGATTTACAATAAGCAAGGTTGGCGGAGACTCGGGGGCTAGAGCTGAATCCTCCGGGCTGAAATGTCAATCATTACGTTCGGGTCGGGTCGGGCTTCTCTATCGCTGACTTTTTTTATGAGGCGTTTTGGCCACAAGAGACCGTGGTCTACAGAAAAAAGAAGTTGGCTCATCGACACGACACATACTGTACTAAACTCTTGCAATGACAATTCAATGAACTCCTAAATAAAATATGAAATTTCGGGCTCGGGCCTGCAAATCTAAATATTTAGTCGGGTTTAATACCCACGGGTCTGGGTCGGGCCGGAATTTTGGGCCCGATCTTAGCTCTACCAGGGGCCCTAATAGAAGCTTTAAAATATTCGTTATTAAGCGGTTTCAAATGTAAGAGGCTTGTCCCGGAAATGCAACCATATTAAAATTTAATAAAAGTGACGTTTGTTTAATTTTATATTCAGGTTAACAGTTATTGTCCCAAATATTGAACCCTTTCAGAAGGTCAAGATTGAATACGGTCATATTAGCGAGTTCCACACCTTCCGCTTTAAAACGACATGTGCTAGTTTAGATTAATTGAACAGTTTTTAACATAGTAATGCCAATTATTTGTTGAAAAAGCCAAGAAAATATATAGGTATACTAATTTGTCTGAGCAACAACTTATCTAAGAATTATTACATTTTTTGATGTTTCGGAGATTATTTACCAAAAGCTCATTTTATTTACCAACCATTGGACCATGTCTCCCACCATTAGCGACTAGAATGTGTATTATGAAGTCGTGTTTTCACGTTACATGACGTTTTATTTCAGCCTTGAGTTTCTTAATATAATTTACAATCCAATCTTTTTTGGTAATTAGTGTTCATATTCGGTCTTTAACTGAAATTTCGAATTTTGACGCATATTGTTAAAGGGTGTTGTCGTATGAATGTTAAGGGAAATCAATGCAATAGTTATGTCTTCCAGTAGCTGATTTAAATAGATTACCGCCACCATAAACATTGAATATAGTTTAACATCGTTCCGTGGCGTGGGTAATACTTGAACGCGGCAATGCGCGTCGCGATTTAATCAAACTCGTCATGGCTTTCATCGACATCAGGCAAACCCTCATAAATTCGCAGATGGCTTCAGCATAAATAACACAAGTGGAGGGCTAGATCAGGGTGGTCCAAACCCAGGCCCGCGGAACACATTATCTGTGGCCCGCGCCGCATTCGGAGAGCAATCAAAATATCGTATTTTGAATTGCTTTTCTTAAAATAAATCGGGAAAATCGTTGTTGTTATATCACTACTGTGACTTAATCGACTAGTATGATGGCTAGCTGAAGCAACCAGCGAAGTTGAAGATGTGATGGGCAGTTTAAGTTGTTACCTGGATTTCTGTCGTTTTGGTGGGGAATATATACTAACAATATAGGCATGATAGAAAACTAACATGGATGCGGATTCTATTAGCCTAGGTGGCAATGCCTGATAACTATGTGTTTACACAATAGAAGTGCTTGTCTTGTATTGCACTGTTCACCTATTCTTGGTACTATTGTGGCCCACGACCAATGCCAAAATATTTTCGTGGCCCGCGGAGCCCACAACCTTGAGCTAGATATACCTCTCTCTGCTTGCCTATATCTCGAGTGCAACGTTTAAAAGTCGCTGGTAGATTTGAGGTAATACAAACGCACAACATGAGTATTAGAATGAAGATTTAATATGTTCTAAATTCGGAATTTCTATAAGTGATCAAGCTATAAATCTGAATGTTTGTCTGCTCAACTGTTGATATATATTAACTGACTATAATTTATAGAATGTAGATTATTCACAGCACAGTATTTTGCCGTACAGATGAAAACCGATATAACGGCGAAGACAAATGAGCGGCCACGAAGTTTTAACTGGTAGCTGATGATCTATTTTCAAATTATCCTTCTGATCAAGATTTTTCAGTATCAGTATTTTACCGTACAGATGAAAGCCGATATAACGGCGGAGATAAATGAGCGGCCACGTGCTGAAATTTAATCAATGAATGATAATCACTTTCACCTGAGACAGAGAGCCGGCCACAGTGAATTTCCACTTTGTTTTCCCCTAACAATACAATTAAAATGTTATTCTGTAATATTTTTCTTGGTCGTACTATTCGAAAAATGCGCCACATCCTTTTTTACCGAATGACTGCGCTCTGCGCCTTGAGTTCTGATAAAAATATCAGAGCAAAGCAATTGCATTATGTTAGTTCACACATGAGCAATCAAGCGAAGTCAGGCTGCGTTTCATCAAAACTCATTTCGTATACGCGCAACAGTTCATTGGTTCTGTAATGAAGTTTTGTAAAAAATACTAACGCCATAACGTCATAGTGGGTGCGTCGTTTCTGTTTTAAAGTTTAGATTTACCACTGACGTAGGCCTATAGTTTACCTTTTACAGGCGAATAGGAGTATTGTACAACAACTTTCTTTTTAGAATTTTTAGCGAAATGTGTGGTGCCACGTTATAATGTAAAGTCTGATCTGATTTTTTAGTTTAATATGCACAGCAAACGTTGTTATGCATTGTTGGGAATACAAATGGTAAGATATAGATAGTTAAACTTTGCGAAAATGGAGGAAGATGGCAGAGATTATATGCAAGAACAGCGCCGTCAACAATGGGATGAAGCTGAGCGCCGTATGTCGTCATCAATTAATACAGAGACATTGAATCCAAGCGCAGCTTTGTTGGCTGATGATCAGGATGGATTTTTGGATTCCATCCATGAAAAAGAGGATCATGTTAAAAGAGCCGAATTGGCGGAATGGATAGGCGGTATACTTGGTAGGTCAAATTGTTTGATGAAATCTGGCTCTTGCTAAGATGCGTTAGAATAACAACATTGTAACCACTCCAATCTGTGATGATTTCTAGGCGAGGACTTGAATTCAAATACACTGATGGACGACCTGAATAATGGAGTAAAACTTCTGTATCTTGCCAAATCAATTCAACTTATTAAATCTTCTCATTTGAAAAATTCCGAATACATGGAGATGGTTAAGAATGTGAGAATTTTTCATTTTAGTTTATTGGTATGGTAATCACCATGAGGTTGTTTATCCATGTCTGTTCATGATAATACAAAGAAAATCGCAACCAGTCGCCTTTTAGCGTGCGTTTTTCCGTGTTGTCACAAAATCACCCGACTGCCCTAAGCACGGTCACCTGCTAAAGTGAAGAAGATCTATCTGTTGGTCAAATTACTGGAGACGACTGTATAAAACTAAATGCCGATTGGCGAGACTTGCAGCAGGTCAAGTTTAGGACGTAATAATTTACGCGGACAAATATGATCAGTAATTTCGTGTACACATGGGTGCTGACGTTTTTTAATTTGAGAGGATATTTGAATTTCACTGACAATTTCTTTTTAGCCATTCCATAAGCTTTTATTTGAAAAAGACAAATGAATAAATTATGGTTACGTCATATCCAACGAAGCTGGGCCAACTAGCCGCTAGATGATATGTTAAGTAATCATCACAAATAATATGATCTAACACCCGATATGCGAACCATCTCGTTAAAGAGGATGCTATCAAGTAACTGAGCAAAATCCAAAAATAGTTTTTTTGCTTAACTACCACACTACTCTTTTACACTATATGATGATTCAAAACAGCATGACATCACGGTTGAAATATTAGGCGTTAACTTAAATATCGCGGAAATGAAAACTCAGAGATGTCTGGTTGTATGGCATAAGTGGTATATTTCAGCGAATATTTGAGTTTAGAACGTCAACCGGCTAGTAGAATGTATTATGGGCGTATTTAGAAAAGTAAAATTTGATTATGAAGGCAGTCGTGGGTGGTGTTGGTGAATCGTTTTCTTGGAGTTTGAGCCTTTATATTGAAAACCTTTCACTAGTTATGACAATCGTTGAATAAAACCCGGTATTTATGTACCACTTCTTATGTATATTCTTTCAATGTAAAGTCGCGATTATTCGTCCGAAAAGCGCGGTGGTATAAAGCTTGAATATATATTGGGGTCCAGTGTTTGGTTACTATGCATCATTTCACCCAGGATTAAAAAACTTGACCAGTAAATTCATATTAATGAAAAACTGCAGATCTAAGACCCTATTTGTGCCTCGTGTCCGAATTACCTCACTAAAATTCTGGCGTATTGTTCTTGATCTAGAAATGTTTGTCCCTTAGATAAATTCATTTATTGTTAAAAATGGCGCACAACATAGCATATGGTCGTCTGATTATTGCAAAATTGGTTTTTAGTATAATATGATAATCACTGCCTGACTTCAAGCATTTTTTCTGTCTGTACTACCGTAGGCCATTTAAAAATCGTCACTGGTTTGTACTCATTCATTTATCTCCATTATCCCAATGTTGACAAGGGTATTTTTAACAATCCAAGTGAAACTGCAACAAAAATTTGAATCGTAAGTGAGCCTATTGTAACTAACTCATCCGTAAGATATTATCGAGAACGGCCCAAATGAAATTCTTCCGCGGGTCTATCCATCTTCGTATAGGGAACCGTTTTGATTTTATGTAACGGGACCACTTTATTGTGTTCGTGATTTATCCTTTTAGCAAGCTTTTTTTTTTATCATAAATATACCTATATATTTGGCAGTTACAACCAGATGAGATCCCTTTCACGGACCGTCAACCACATAAACGAGCGTCTGTTATAGCAAAGCAACGTTCAAATATCGCAAAATTTTTGGAGTGGTGTAGACATTCAGGAGTACCACCAATCACACTTTTTGAGACGGAAGATTTAGGTATTTGTTTTATTATTTATGTCATTTTAAAGCATACTAATAGTATAAAAATACTCGTTTTGATATAAAATACAATTGTTCGTAAAGTAGATGGACGATAGTCTTACTTTATTCAAATCGTAATCAAATATATCGAAGAACTATGATCTTTTAACAAATTCGCTAAGCAGCTGTGTTTGATGTGATCTGTATTTCATTGAAAACTGCGGAGTTGGAGTTTTTCGATTACGTTACGTGTAGTGCAGTAGGGGACGCAGTAGCGTTTTGAATCTTCATGGTCAGAAATCGGAATCATAATAAATATCAGCTTTCCGGGTCGAGAATCTATTACCCGATGCTGCATCTATCATTCCAGCCACTTGTTGTCTTTTTGCTTTTGATTATCTGTCTATTTACGCTCGAATCGTTCTGTTCCTCTGCACTTATACTTCCTGACACCGTTGAAAATTTATAATTTTTCACGTTTATATGAAACTAATATCATTTCTGCGTATTTCTTTTCACCTAAATCATTATTTATTATTTTTTTCAGTTCACGATAAGAATCATCGTCAAGTGACAACTTGTTTACTTTATGTGGCCAGGATTGCGTCAAAGTGAGTATAAAATTTTCATTTTCGGAATTTAATTTTTTTTTCATCGAGCATTGAGATGGCCAATTTGACATTTGTCGTTGTGATTTGCTACCCACCCCTACCCCAGGATAGTGGGTAGCGGAGTGGTAGCCAGAAAAGGGTTATAAGACAGTATCAAATGGTATTTTAAACACCAGTATTAGGTGAATGCGAATAGCCATGGGGGACAGATGTCTTAAAATATGTGGTCTCACATTTGTCTCACCCGTTCCAGTTCTCCGGCACTTGCCTTGACGAAGTATTATATCTACCCTTACCAAGAATATGGCATGAATCCCAGAAGATTTCGTAAAAAAACACGTTAAGATATTATTTCTTATCGGGTGTAGGAGGATTCGGATATTGATAACGATAACTTATCAATATAGGATTAACTATCTTATAAGAGATAGTGACTGTATTTTTAGAAAATGTTGTGTCGACGATCGATAATTCTTTCCGAGAATTCATAGCAATGATCCAGCAAGCGTAACTTTGAGCAAAATACTTACATTACACTTTTGTATAGAGCTTCGTTAATTAATTTATGATTAGATAATCTGATTTGAGCTAATGCAAATGAGTTCCTAAAGTTATGGTTACTTTTAAAAATAAATTTATGCGTACGGAATGTTTTAATACGAAGTATATATAAAAACCAAATATTAAAAAATTAACACGCCATGTGTATGATCAAAATGTTCCCTTTAAATTAGGGGTGTGACTCGGCCCACCAAGTCATTTAGTATGGCCCTCATCAACCGTCAGATTTTCCCTATCAAGCATAAAAATCCATATCCGAGAGTTCGAGTTAAAAGCTGATATAAAATAAAATTATGCAAAAACTTGAAATTTCAATCGTCGCACTAAAATGTGAAATAACGAATATTCTGCATTGTGAGAATTTTTGTAATTCGTTGTGTACATGGTAAATCTAAATTTGTTGTGTGGCTCAGCTAAATGTCTGAAATTGGTGATATGACTCACCAACAAAAAAAGTGTTGCACACTCCTGCTTTTAATCATGTCGAATGTCCTTTCTTGTGAGACTTCTTTCCAATTGAGAAATTCACAATGTAAAATCATACATGACGATGGAAACATACAGAGTTGATACAAATAATCATGTTTCTGATTCAGATACGGGATTGAACCACCATCAAGCGTTAAAGAGGAAATGGAAAAAGAGTGAGTAGATCACCTAATTAAAAATACTTGCATATAGTCCCTCGATTAAGGGGTCTTGTTTTTAATATAATACATTTTTTCTGTAGGTTGACTGTTTCATTTGAAATAACTTTCTGTAACTATTCTTCCTATTGAAAGCATTCGGTATTAATTAAAATCTTATGAAATAATATTCGCATTCGACAATTGCTGGCCTCAATGATAAGTTCAAAAGGAAAAACTTTAGCGCCAGATGCTGTCTTTCATGTTCGACCTAACAATTATATTTCGTTTTTAAAAAGTATGTCAATTGCAGATAGACTCGAATGTCGAAAGCGCATATGTTTTGCGTGGCTTACGACTCAAAAAACAAAAAACATAAAATAGTAAAATTTTCGAGGATATTTGGTTTTGCCGCAAATCAATTTGTTTTGTGGGTTATCCAAACTTCATGTACAAATAAAACCATGTACAAGCAGATAGTACGGCACAGAAAGCAGAGAATCTAGAACAGCCTTCTGCGCTATCGTTAAAAAGTACAGTCCATTTAGACTTTAGTTTAGAGAGTGGTGGGGACTCGGATATAAAACTACTTATATCTTCAAAGAATATACAAAATTATTTTCTAAGATTACCTCATTTCACTTAGGCAATAATATAATAATATGCATAACTGAGAATAGAAAATAGCCTACTGTGACTCATTATCCGGGATACAATATGAATCTAGTATTTACATTTTGTGGAGCAGTGGAAATGTTCCACTCAGGGTATTGTCACATCACAATATAGTTTTTTTTAATATTCAACGACATTGAACTGATTTTAATAGTATTGATTTGGAATTTGAAACTATTTTGCTAATAACAAAAGCAATTTATCCGTTAAAAACAAATCTGTATATGACCAGTTGTTACATATTTGTTTTCTCATTGTAAATATAATATTTAAACTACCACTTTGTGTCGTTGGAGCTTTCACTCAACTGTTTAACTATCACTCTATAACAATGCAATTTTTATCGGTTGTAAAAACTTTTGATAACGACTATGCTATCACACTGATACGAGAAAACCTCGTGCTGGGGAAGGGGGGAAAATCCTATCGCCAACCCTCGCGCGATAACCCGGAACTATAGTTAAATAATCACACGGGAGAAAAAAGCAATGTCCCAGATTCATTTAAAACTAAACCCTGCTGCAGCTGTTATTCACTGTAAAATTGCGTACATGTTCTAAGGATTATTTCCAAGAACTATTTGATTCAGTAACCAGAAATTTGTTAAATCAAAATGCCTGGACTTATATATTTTCTCAGAGCGAGGTTACATGCAAAGAATACAAGTTTGATGCACAAGTCTCCATCTTCGGATAAGAAACATTTGATTCGTCAAAATAAGGTAAATATTATCATTTGTTAATGCGGCAGCCTAATTGCAGTGACATAAAATATACAGAGAAACTCTTCGATACGGTTAAACTTAATTTATGAATATATGTATCAAAACGGTGGTGCGTGTCCATGGTTACAACTAGTATGTCAAATTTGTAAATATCTTACGCGCATTCGACTTCATAATTATTACTCTCGATTATGTATACATATATCATAGAATATATGTCCGATGTACATTGCAAGTAGGATTATTTTTTGTAAGATAAAAAAGGATCTTCATATTTATCCCGGAGGAGTGGGAAGCCGACAAGACGACATAATCATATAGCGTACTTCCGCGTCTCGTACTAGCAAAACTTTGGCATACGCTGATGTACCAATTTCAAATTGTAATAATATTGTGACAAGGTGTCTCACAACACGTCAAATTATCATCTCAATCTTCATACTATATGTCTAAACAAGTTTATACGTTATTGCGTCTAATTATCACTTTTGCGTGAAGTATAATAACAGCCTGTGTTCGGGGTTAGAGAAATCGAGAATAGAGATATAAGTTATAACGGCTGAGTTTGTAGCATAGATAAATCATGCTTTTTGACGTGTTTTAAACAAAGACAATGTATGGCCGTTAGTGATCTATGATTTCACCCGTTCAGAGGAGCTAATATATGATTGTATATTGTACTGACGATTATTGTCATTACTGGATTTATTATCGAGATTGCCACTACTGTGGGAATCTAAAGTTAGATTTGGTGGCGGACAGAGTAGGTTGTGTAGAGATATAGCGTTGAAAATCTTATTTGTGCAAGAGACTCTCTAGTACCGGTTTATCGTAAACATTTATGGATAGTATGACATCCAATATTTACGACTGTTTCGGAGATTATATCGTTACACTGGTTAGTTCAAAAAATTGAATATTTCGTGTTTTTTATTTTTGAGTCGACTTATTCTTAATTTATTTTTCTTAGTCGCCGATTTACGAACATGAAGACGAAGATGTTTTAACATCACCCATTTCTAAGCTGCAGGAGTCATCTTTCAACTCAGCAGGTTTGTGTAGAAGATTTATTACAAATATTTCGATTACACTGATTGTAAAAATAGGTTTCTGGCCGGACCAGGATTATATTTTGTGTTTCTTAGAGGATTGAGTTATATAAGTATGCTGATCGGCGGCATTGTCTAAATATATACCGTTTCATGATATTCGTTTTATTTTACAGGAAAGTATGACACAACTTCCACACCGTTTTCAACAAGTGAACAAACAAATTTAAAATATATGAAAGATCAAATGGAACCTATACCACCAATGGAGTTGGATTTTAACGTAAGTTTATGGTCGCAATCTGTACATAATTAGATTTACAGTCGAACTATTACGCCAGAAATATACTCAGGGGTAGTCGTTATCTGATACTGTTACACTGTTCATTGGCAAAAATTTTGTACTAAAACATACATAATACATGCATGACAACTTTTACCATTGTTCGTAATAAAGTACATGGCTGATATGAAGTAAACAACATGTTTTAATTGTCTGTCTCTTTCCAGTTGCGCTTGCACATACTGTTAATAAGAATAAGAATGCTAAAAATCAAGTTGTACTGCTAGTGAAGCATATACCCTTCCGTATTAATTATACGAATTCTTAGGCCATATTTGATAGAATATTATATAACTTTGGCATTTGATCCATTTTTAGAGAGAAGAATCGGATGTGGTTGTGCTAGATACCTATCCGTCACAGGAAAGACAATCCATGATACACTTCGAAACCAAACCACAGATTGAAGATGTTGAAATAAAAGAGGTCAGTATAGAGCTACCTAAAATACTGGCAACTATTTTTATTTGTAAAACACTTATTAGTAACAATGCCAGATAATATCGTAGCAAGAGTTAATTTTGGTAGTTGGATATTTTTTCATACCTACGAATATTGAGTCATAATTTTGAGAAATACTTCACCTATGCTGTGAAGTAATACAACTGAATTTAGTTCATTGCTAAAATCTACTAGCCATGATATGTATTTATTCGATTATAACCAACATACTATTTTTCAGATGCAAGACATGGTGATTATCGAACAGCTTTCATTTCGTCCGATAGATGTGCCCGTAGATCATGATATGTCGGAATTTGTTAGGGGTTCAAAGTCAGAGAGTATGAACCTGCACCCCGACATGAATGGTAAGCGTTTTATCAGTGTTAAAGCATTAAAATTTACGATTAAATCATCACGTTTCACAACGTATTTTTGACGGTATATCAGAATGAGCAGTTGGAATGGGTTGTCGCGTCCGGAATGATGTTGAAATTAGCAGAAAAGTTTTCTTCTGTATATTGTATATAACGTCTATTCATATTCATTCACAAATATAGATAGTAACATTTCATGTGCCCATGCAATTATTGTTTGGCTATTTTAGCTGGCTCAAATATTCATTTTTCGGGTTCATAACAAGCCTAGTCTCAAAAACGAGTGAGCTTACAGTTCTTTGATATAGTGAATAAATCAAATATGATATATTTCCTTATTCTGATGTTTTTTATTTTTATTCTTCGTAGAAAACACAGAAAGTGCAATGAGCGATTCTAGCTTTGAAACTACAAGTTCAAGTGAAAACGAATATTACACTGCTCATGACGTTGCATCCAATGATGACATCACTGATCTCATGTATCATACTGCTTTTGTTGATGACGTAAGCGACAGTGAAGATGCTATTGACGAACCAAAATTAGCTGGAGAAATCAGCGGAAACGGGGCAATCGATATCATTGGCGTAACTGTGACGTCATCCGATGATATGAATGACGTAAATGAAATGGAAGTGACGTCACCGTTTAGTCTTTTTCGGGTGCCAGCGGACATTGTCGTACAACGTGAAGAAGATGAAAGTAGTGAAGAATCAACAACCGACGTTGAATCTTACACTTCAGAAGAAGAGGACAGACATGACGTCACTTATACAGATGTTGCCGTGGGAACAGATGACATCATTGAAATGAAGGAATTTCAAAGCGAAATAATGATAAACTTTCCTCCCTATTTTGAAATCACCAACCGAGCGCAAACTAAGAAGATAAGACCAGATACCGAATACATAGTGGCTCCTGTAAGAAACGAACCCATATATGCCGTCTCTACAAAATCGAGTTCCACAAACAACTCTGCCGTAAATACGAATTCTTCATATCGTAACGACGCCTACGAATCAGAACAAGAGTCCCTATCCAGACCGTCTCGCGATTATCACAGTGCTGCAACGAGACATTACACACCTTCCCCTAGGACTACACCATCCCCGTTACCAAGAAGCATTTCGAATGCATCACAGAGAAGCAAAGGAACGCAAACACATGTCAGCTTGACCCAAGACATTGTTCGCATTATAAACGAAATGGAAGACATTCCAAGGCTTAGAACGGCTTCGTCATCTGCTTCGTCTGGGCCTATAAATTCAGCTGGTCATCTTGGAAATACAATCGTAGTCAGGGCACAGTATCAACAACACGCTTTGCCAACCGCCGATAGAGACGTGGCTGTTATCCAAACCAATGACTACGAGAGTGTTAGGCCGCCACGGGTCGGCAGTGTCACTGGGAGCTCAAGATACAAAAACAGAGACGTAGAAGCAGCGACTCCTACAAGAGAAGTGCGAAGAAGTCTCATGCGAAGAGCTAGCAGCGCAATTAGCGAGCAGTTTGAAAAAGCTGTCGTGGTTGCAAAAAAGTACAAAAAACAAATCGCAATAATTGCAGTACTGCTGATTTTGACAGCCGGAGCTTTAGCTGCTATGATAGTCATATTTCCAATGACATGATGTGGTTATAGAACACCCTTAACACAAAGGTATATACAGTAGCTAACAGCACTGTTTGCTACACGACAGAGATGTCTTCTTAACCTCAACGGAATCTGCGTTGGCTAGCAGTCACAGAAGAAACGATCATATTCAGTATCGATGTCGTCCGTCGCTACAGGATATGAACCGATGACGAAAATTTCCGGATCAGCATTGACCATGACCCTACATCATAACTGCACATAGTACCTACTAACAGATTCTTTCGTATCTATTTTTCTGCATAAGCCATAACAGTAACGATAATAAATAAAATACATTTTCTAATGTTTTATGATTGATCGTCGCTTAAATTGAAGTTATATTAATCATTCACTGATTTTTACTAATCCGATCATATTTTTTGTGTTTGTTCGTTCTAAAAACAGGTTCCGAAATATTCTGTTTACTTTGTAATAAAATTGATTTACACAACATTTGTGATTTAGAAGTCATAACTTGAAACAGAATAAGCAATCTTACTATCTGTGATTGGATTTAGGCTTTAGAATACCAAAACAGAAATGAGCTTTACATGCATCCGTCCGATATAAAACGCAAGAGATCGATGCTCAAATGTATAGTCACGAATGTCAAAACGAATTAGTACGGGTATGCAATTTGTAACAGTAGACTACCGCCACAAGGTGCGCAATTTTTTTCAATTTTGATGATGTCATCGCACACAAAATAAAACCCACAGAAATTTTTAAAATAAATACAAGTAATAGCCTCCTAGCGAAAATATATAGTCTTTAACCATTGAAGATTTGAAAGCAATTTGTCCAGTAGGTAATGAGAGAAGCGATTGTTTCATAACAAGAAAACACTTACAAGGAAAGAAACAACAACAAAAACAACGTAATAACATATGTACGATCCATATGTACCTTCGTGTCTAACAATGTGCTGATAGTAGATGTGCTGTGAGGTCGTTTGACAAAGTAAATATTCGAAGGCGTTGTAGAACTTGTATTATTCACAGTACGATAATGCTCTCATGTTACGGATAGTAGGTAGCGAAGTTTTGATTGTACAAAATTTAACAAGAATTCTCTCATTATCACTAGTTGCTAGATATTTTCACGCAACAGATCGTTTCTCGATGCGTAAAAATTCGATTGCTTGATATCACCCCCTACAAGAGATAGAAGCTATTCTCCTTTTTCATGTACTTCAAACATTGCCAAGACCAAATAGATCACGCCCCCACTAATGTTCATAAAATGCCTCGTTTAAACAATAGACAACCCCCTCAAACAATTCATTAATTACACTGTGAAGTTTTTCGTCAATATGACTTCAATATTATAGTAATTTCAACGACTTGACACAAACAAACTCAGTGTACTTTCATAATATTATGAACAGTTTGATGAATTTTTCATAAGGATTTATAGCGTAGAGTTAGACACTAAAGATTTTATACTTCTGAACAAGGATACACACAGTATTTTTTAATATCAGCATAGATCATAAAATGAAGGGCGAGCAAACATCACAATCAGTTATATATATATATATATATATATATATATGCAGAACATCCAAGTCCAACGAAAACCAAAACTTACAGCAGTGCATTTCTAATTAATACGAATTTGTTGAGTCAATAACCAACGTAGACGATACTAAATTTTCACTAACCTTGAAATAGAGAACACCCCGTTAGCAGATAAGTACTTGAGGTTGGTTATTTGATGAGCGCACGCTTTTACCTTTTCTCTGTAACGAGAGGAATTGTTTTGCATCTTTTGTACGAAGCCCTCGCCACCAATGCAAAAATATGAGATTTTAGAAAAACACCCCCGCCAAGTTTTGAAATAAAAAATCAGTAATAAACCAGTTCGGGTTTGGGTTCGGAATGATTTAAAGATTTGAATTTCCAGCGCAATCTGCATTCCTAGAGCCCCCTCTAGGAACTCTAGCTAGATAATTACTAATTGTTTTATTTTGAGTGGTGGTGGGGATGGTTTTTGGCGGGGGCTCTGTACAAAAGATCCATTGTTTTACTATTTTAAAGCTATAAAATACGCAAAATCGCTTAATGAAGATTTAGTTCAGCATTTACTGTAATGTAAAAGCTCATTCTCGGTAGATTTATGAAGCATTTAACTACGATTTCAGTTTGAATTGGCCTCTGCACAAACGTTTTCTTGCACATGTTGTCACATGTAGACAGTATTCAGACAGTATTTCAAACTGAAGTTTATATCCTGGAGTAGATGACAATGATATATGATAACAGGACTCTACGTACATTAGGAGCATGACCCCACTTGCATAGCACTCCTATTGAAGTTTGCTGTGTTCAATATTTGTTAGCAAACTTATCAAAGAAATAATCTATGAAATCAATTTTGAATTTTTTTTAGTGATTCTGCAAATTTACACTTTATTTCCAATGTTCAAAACTTCATGCTGCCTTTCATGCATGCATTTTTTTTTTATCTGGTTTGTACATTTGATAAATTATTGGTGATTTTTTTATGTATTTGAAAGCAAGATGTTTCCTACAGCTATTTACTTATTTAGCAATACACAATCTAGAATTCCAGACCCAGAGTTTGCTGCATTCAAATATTTAAAATCAACTTCATTTATGTATAATATATATGATATGTGGGGTAAATTCTGGTGATTACCATAATTGGACGGAAGAGGTCGTCAGAAGTCTATAACATTTAATTTATCTACCTAAATTTTGTTATGTTTTGTGTAAGTTGTCCACAGATCCCTTAAAAAGCATTGCCCGATTCTGAATCGTGTTTTTTGTATTAATATTTTTTATTTTTTTTTGGTGGGCGGGCGCGTACTTTTACGTTTTTTAACTTTATTTTAAGTTATGCTCGCCTTCCAGGTATCTCTGCATTTTGTTTGTTTGTCCAGTTTTTGTGTTGTTTTGTTTTTATGTCCGAGTACCGAAATAAATGATTGATTGTACAGGTGCAGTATTTCGTAATCTCGAATGCCAACGTTCATATCACATATCACACCCACGTTCAACATACACTGTTTTGAGAAAGTGCATCGAGAAGTATTTAAACAAGGTAATAAATTTAATTGCACGTAAGTTTTTTGTTCTCGACCGTTCACTATTAGGGTTCATGCATAGTGAATATTGAGCAAACAGTAATATGTGTCGTGAACCAAGTTATGACTCCGCCCCATGATTTTAATTTGAACAATGTTGCCGCTTCTTGTCTTGACGTAAAACGCAAATGTTTATTTTACACTAATGGTTGCCACGGACGGTTGCCATGCACCAATTTAGAAGCAGTTACTTCGTCAGCGGTAGCGACAAAAGAGCATTATAAAGATTTAGTCTCACACGCTGCAAAGTGAGATGCTCTATACAGACATATTAGATATGCTAAAAATGCAAAAGGATAGCTAATTTTGATAATCATCAGATCGGTATATTTTTTATATTTGATCTAACTATACAACGCGAATCCCCAACTAAAATTTTAAAAGTGTATAAGCAGGAGAGCCACAAAAGACTTTTGACAAGCTTAGAGAGGTCTATCCTTGATGTAGGGTCGTCAGCGGATATTCTCGTCGATGAGACACGAGTATTGAAACGATGCTAGGCAACATTTCTATATCCATTCGTCGTCTTGAATTTGTTAAAATGAGTTATGAAGATTTATATATATCATAAAATTGACGAATATTCAGCCGATAGAGTTTATTTGAGAATTAAGACACATCTATAAACAATAATAACAAATATTTTGCTGTAAATGAAAATATGTTGTCTTGCTTTGCAGAGATTTAAAATGAATTTACACACCAAAGCAGCTATATTGTGTTTGACCCTGTTTTCCTTAGGAGGAATAATAGAAGGGAAAGTGAAGATTAAAAACAATAAATACACAGGACTTGTGATTGCGATAAATCCAGAAGTTCCAGAAGATCCGGCGATCATAGATGCCCTTAAGGTAAAAATCTTGGCAACCATTACTATTAAAATTAGACCATGGCTTTTGTTTTTTCAACATTTCCACTCCTTTGTATTCGTTTTATTCTAATTTTTATTGAGACAAAATATAAGAGTATGAAATAAAATAAATCGCATTGGTCGTACCACTCGAAACAATGTTCGACGTTCCCTGAAAGCAAGGATCTGCACAACCAGTCTCTCAGACAATTTGAAAATACCAAAATCTGTCTGGTTCGAAACAGAGCGAGTATGAAACACCTATATTCTATAGCAGGGCTACTCAACTGGCGGACTGCGGTCCGAATCCGGACCTTTTGGGTATTCGATTTGGACCGCGCATAATTCTTTATTTTGGATCATTAGCCCCACTTTTGAATTTTCCTTTTATAAAATCACTTTTATAGTTAAAGGTATATATGAAAAGAACTATAACGCCATAACAAACATTCTTGATTATCTAACAATCATTAGTCGGCAGAGGAATTGCGTGTTTAAGGATGCCGAAATATAATTTCTGGAAAGACCGGACCCAAATAACTTTTCAGTTTTGTATGCAGATCTTTGGTAAAAATAGTTGAGTAGCCCTGTTGAAACACGGTTAGCGAGTTAGGCAATGTCGTAGGCCGGTATTGTAATAAATTAAATCCATATTTTTTTAAAGTGTAGTTCGGATTGTGCTTCTAGAAAGCCGTTTACCATCTATATGTATTACATTCTTCAACATTTGGAGATTCATATTCTATTTTACAGAGTTCGTGGACAGACGCTTCTCGAGATTTATTCCGTGCCACAAATAAACGAGCATACTTTGAAAAAATTACTATACTCGTACCGAAAACTTGGACCAATGGCAATTATGACCGGAGCGACGGAGAAAGCTATAAAAGGGTAAGATGCCGAATTTAACTTTAAAAAAAATTATCCCGAAAACCCAATGTTTCATTATAAATATTGTATTAGTATTTTTTAAATGATGAGCTACTAGCACTTTTGTACTAATGAAAAATTGTTTTTAAATACGTAACAAATTAAAGAACGTACACACTAAAAACTCCAACAAATTTTTATTGTCACTTGCAAACGTGTTTCTAATTTTCACACGGTAAATCTTTTGGCTTATCGACTTTTCACGTTGACGAAATTTATGGTGGTCCTGCCGTTTTTCATTCGTGATGTATAAGTTGACCATAAGCTGACTTATTTGAACTTGAGATGCCTAGGCTATAGGAATACTTAAGCCTTGATTTGTTTCAAGTCTCCTCGTAAGGATGGAATAAAATCGATACAAGATTAAAAATACTATTAATAATGAAATATTAAATACAGAACAACGTTATTTATTTATTTATTGCTGAGGAAGAGGTTGTAGTCGCTTACTAAATCGAGTCATATGGCGAAATGACGTATATACTACAATACGGTGAATGTGGGGAACTTGAATCGTGTTTATTTAATAGAATAATAATATAACTCTGCTCTATATCAAATATATATAAAATACATTCACGCACACGGTGTATTCCATTTTTTTAATAATGTAGGCGGAGGTTGTGGTCGCTCACGAAAACCCAGCATATGGCGAAGTGCCGTATACATTACAATACGGTGAATGTGGTGAACCTGGATCGTATATTCATTTGACTCCTAACTATCTACTCGATGACAACTTTGTTTACAATTATGGGCCTAGAGGTATATCTTTTCCATTGTATCATAATCGTATTTTTGTCCAGCAAACCACGCCTGTCTAATTTTATTGTTTCACTATTAGTGGGTCGTCATGGAGAATTTATTAATCAATTACACAACACAAATACCATTTCTGACTTATCACTATCCTCTGTGATGCCTGTTTATTTAAAATTTAGCTCGTATTTTTTGGAATAGTTCAAATGAATTTCCCTTTATAAAAGCCTGCAAAGTGTAAACGATATATACTCCAATCCAACACCAAATACCACTTCCCGGTGCCATAAATAGGTAAATAAATCATTTTGATTGACAAACAAACCACGACTTAGTTTGTATTTTGATAATATTTCAGGTAAAACAATTGTACACGAATGGGCGCATTTCAGATGGGGTGTTTTCGATGAAGTTGTAACAAATGGATATGATCCTTTTTATCTTTCATATGCCGGAAAGATAGAAGCCAACAGGTATTTAGAACTTCCTGTGTGATTTTTGCTGTCTGACGTTGGATAAATCCTTCGACGTCTTCCTTTTGCATACCATTGTTTGCAGATATTCTGGGACTTTGAGGGCGCTTACAATAGAATTAACTATAAAGCTAAACTATGTACGTTCCGAACCATAGTGTATATATTGAGTTCAATACAATAGTAAGGAGTCTATCAGCAATCAGCTTTTTCAATTCTGTAATCATCAAACATACTAGTCCGTGCTGTACTGTCAGAACTTGCTATATATACAAAGATATATATTCAACTTTTTCTCAGATGCCCAGTCAATGTCCGAGGCGACAACTACTACGTGAATTGGGATAGTCAGTCTTACAGAGCATGCGATACAAATCAACAAACGATGCTCCCAGAAGATGGCTGCATTTTTTTCCCTGACGAATCACGAAGTGCGGCGGCTAGTTCTTCGATGATGTCTTATCAATACTTAGATTCTGTAAGTATCAGATATTCGTTTGGCCTCATTTGGATTCAACTTTCATTCAAATGCCATTAATACAAGACTGTCAAATATAGGTATCTATAAACGTGATAAGCTTTGAAGTAAACAATCCCATGGCAGCTGCAACGTTGCGAACGAACAGAAACGGTTATCTAAAATACACAATGACGCGTCGGGATAAAATGATTAAATGTTGTTATTATGCACTTTTATTCAAATTAAAAATTGTATATTCGCCCAGTAACCCTGGCCTCCCTCGCGCAGGGAGGGGGGCAAAAACGATATTTATAAATAAATACAAATAGGTATTTAACCTGAACAAAAAATACGGCTTATCTAACTGAGCCAGCCCTTCAAAGAATATAGGAAATAAAATTATAAGCAAAAATACCAAATATAAAATCTTAGCTAGGGGCTGGCAAACTCGAAGTAACATGGAAAAATCTAACTGAATTATAATTACCGCTCGGCTTTTCCTATCAACCGGGGTGAAATTCGGAATTAAAATGTGGAAAAGTTTCATAAATTATCAGATTAAATGATACAATAGGGATAAAGAGTTATTGTCGTCACATGGAATTGAAGTCATTTCTTGCTGTTTAATAATGAACAACGTAATTTATTATATTCCACTCGAACCCGCTGACAACTATGACATAAGCAAGAGTGGAAGGATTTATATTGCTATAATACTGCAAAGCATTGGGAGTGCGATTAGTTCTGTTGTTGACCGCGGTCCAGCAATTTAGTAGCCGATAGAGCAATGTTTGAATATACAAAACGAGTTTGTAATTATTGTCTGGTTACACAAGCCCTTACGCCAATAGCCAAGCCTTCCTTTGCAGTCCAAACAAAGTACTGTAAAAAACAGAAGAAAATTGAAGGTCATTCGAACCCGCCGTCTTGTTTATGGTCTTTGATTCGATAAAAGGTTGTTTACTGTGGTCTGGAATGTTGGGATGGTCGAATATTTGATATATTTGCGGTTTCCCAATTCAGAAGTATTGTAAACTTTATGTTATAATAAATTTTGTGTGCCTAGAACGTGCCTACGTTATTGGCAAACATAGGTACACAAAACAATCGGAACTGTTGGTTCTTATAAAGGAACTACTTGTCTTGGCTTGCCCTAAATGCACTCAAGTTATTGCATGACAACGGATCCATTAATATATATATATATAGCGTATTTCATGATAGGCGTTGTTTTTTATTGCCATAGACACAAATAACTATTCTTTTCAGCTAAAGTAAGATTTCAGTTATATTGTGCAATTAAATGCGCAGGCTTAACTTCGGCGTTAATTAACGTGCCCAGGTAATATTGAAACCTCTTTTTCAAAGTACATTTCAATTGGATTGGATCATTTCATTTCAATTGCCGGGCTTGGAGACGTTTTTGTATGTAACGAATCAGGCACTTTGACATATACTGTACTTTTTTTTAATACAATATGTTCTGCTTCTGTATTAATTACTGTTAGACCTAATCGCGGGTGTCATTTCGTACGAAGTGTATTTGCCTGACCTTAGCAACTGGTGATGAGAGGTCGTGTAATGATTAGCTTCTACAAAATTCATATTATTAGTCCGAATAGGAGACCATCAATATGATATTTTCAGAGAATACCCTCGGCGAGATTAAAAATATTTGTCATTCAAGCTCGGCGCGATAAAAACTATTTGTCATTCAATCAAATGAATAGTCATTTTATACTTCAGGTATACACATTTTGCCACGATGACACATCTGATCCCGTCAATCTTCATAACCGAGACGCGCCGAACGAACACAACAGACTGTGCAATCTTAGAAGCACATGGAATGTCATCAGTTCTTCCAGCGACTTTGGTAATGGAAAAAACCCTACGAACAATCAAATTGAAGTCACTACTCCTGATTTTGAAGTTGTTCAACCTCAAACGTATCAAAGATTTGTTCTTGTTTTGGATACATCGGGAAGTATGGATACCGAAGTGAGTGATTGGGAAACAGTATGGTTATATCATGAATAACACGTCATGTTTGTTCGTAGCCCTGTCGTCTGTTTTACGGGAAGATGTTGGTACAATCAAATATGTTATTCCTACACATTTTATTATGTACTTAACTACCTCCAAGTGGGATTAAAATGGCTCTATGTGAAATTTGAGAGGCGATCGGTTTGTCGCACACGATCATCCAAAGGCAATCAATATACATCGTAGCTTCCCAATCGCAGATTGCAATTTCGACGTTGCTATATGAACTGCTAGATTTCTTAGGTGTGAAATAGAAACTTGCATTTTTCGAAATATTGTCCTAGTGAGGCATATCGCCCATATACGTAGGAAAATGTATATTCCACGACATTGCATCCCTCGCCCGTCGATTGAGTCATCAACCTTATATTAAATTTGGGTAATATGTATGTCAGTGAAAGGACACTTTGTTAGTATAGGTGGCTTTCACACCAATCTTACCAATGCATGCTTTATTGGAAAAGTACCGATTTGTAAAATCGTTTTAAATTCAATTACAGAATAGATTAACAATGATGCGACAAGCAGCTTCTACGTTCCTTCTCCAAGCGGTTCCCACAGATAGCGAAGTGGGTATGATAGATTTCGATTCCACTGCAGAAGTCTTGAGCGAGATGACTGTCATTAACGATTATGGCGACAGAATATTACTGAATAATTTGCTGCCAACTGTGGCTGAAGGAGGCACCAGCATTGGGAGTGGAATCCGTGCAGGAATCAAGGTATGAAAATAAGAAGTGATTTGTTTAAAGAAGGTTAAAATGAGTATAGTAACAAATATATAAACTGCTTGACGAATTAAGTAGCTATTGATGGGAACTAGACTAATCCCGACCGTTGCAAAGTTTTTTTGTCCTATAGTCTATATCAGGGTGGTCCCAGGCCTGCGGGACATTCGGAGAGTAATCAAAAAATCGCATTTTGTTTTGTTTCGTCATAAAATTAATCATAAATTTTTAACATATTGTCATCACTAATATCACTGAACTAAATAGTGTTATGGCTAGCTGAGGACGAAGTTGAATGATGTGCTTGGCAGTCTAAATTGTTATCTGGCTTACTAACTTTTTGGTCGGGAATATATGCTAACAATATAGGCATCATAGAAAACTAAAAATCGAATGCGGATTTCGGATTATATTAGCCTAGAATGGCTATGTCTGATAACTATGTGATTGTACAATAAAAGTGTTTGTTTTGTATTGCACTGTCTACCTATTCTTGGCACTATTGTGGCCCGCGAATAATGCAAAAATAATTTTGTGGCCCGCGGGGCCGACTACCTTGAACCACCCTGGTATATATAGTCATTGTCGCTTGCGCAGAGCCTCGTGATATGCTGGGGTAAAAACAGCTGATGAAAACCATCTATTCTCACTTTCTAGTTATTGGAAAAAAATGGGAAAAGTGCAAAAGGCGGAAACCTTATTGTACTCAGTGATGGAGAAGAAAACGAAGATCCGAGACTTGATGATGTGTATGATGAAACCATTGCCGCGGTAAGTTAACGGTAAAAATGGGGCCAATTACAGGCTGAAAAAATCCATGTTTTTTTAATTGGAAATTGATTTTAAACCAGTCACATTGTAAATTAAGAACAAGGAACACAGTGCTAGAATATATATACCATATTTGCCACTAAAGTGATGTTTCATTTTATTGTTTATTAATTGAAGGAAGAAGTAGATTTATACATTGTAATCGGCGTATTTTGCAAATAGGGGCCAAGGCAGTAAAAAAGAACGTCAACATCATTGAATCCTACCCGAACCGTGAAATGCAACAAACTAAAATTTAACTTGCATTTTTAAGCAATGTTTGTGACAAAATCCATTACTTGGAATTATTAGGCTATGAACATAATTCTTGGTTTCTGATACCAAACTTAATCGCAAACTTGAGACTATCTGGCAGGCTTTTACGTACCATATAGCATTGGAAAATTAAAAAGATGAACTCATTCAATATTGTGCTAGTATATACTCTTTAATAGCTTTTGTTCGCTTGATAAAGGTTGTTATATAGATGGAGACTCATTTACATTACTCACAAGTTCGAAATGTAGTATTTATTGTTGTTTATGTTTTTTTGCAAGGCTCACTAAGATTGTGCAAAGTAGTCACAAAAACGCTTGTTGAAATTTGATGCACAAATTCGGAATAAGCAAAGTTTTGCTTAAAAGTAGAGACCCGTTTCATCAGTTTCACAATATAATATTCACGACAAAGCCAGTAAACGTTTATTCGATTAATGATTTTAACGTATTAGATTGTCCCGTTTAGATATTACCAGGCTGGTAGTCTAACATCACGCTGGGTTTGCACGCAAGCACACACACATTCAAGTTCGAAATGAATATAGAATTTATTGCTTTCACTTTTAATACTCAATATATTTTATTACAGGGTGTTATTGTGAATTCAATTGCATTTTCTTCAGCTGCGGATCCAAATCTAGCAGTGATATCTGCGAATACTGGTGGAATTTGGTATTTCGCAGACTCCAGTGATACAAATACAACTACAGCCCTTACGGATGCATTTGTATCGGTCGCAAAAGTTGACGATGGAGATGTTTATAGAGAAACATTCCAGGTGCGGAAATTGTCAAAAGCTACTACAAACGCTCTGAAATAATAGTACAATAACAATTTCCGGGACTACCGTAGTATGTGCAGCAAGATGGCGGACACCGGGACGTATTATGTGTATCGGGTTAGGCGATAATTTCAGTTACAAATACTACGGGAGCCACTTGGCTAGTCCCCGAACTCGTAATAGAACTAAAGAAGAAAGATTGGAATAAAACTATGGCCCAAATGTTTAGGTGTCTGCCATCTTGATGCACATACTACGGGAGCGCCCAATTTTATAGGATGGGTTTGGTTCTTCTTCGATGGGATATTATACTCACTTAGACAAAAAGAGAGTAGCTAAAAAATCTAGAAAAATGCGATACCTTTATTCATAGAATTAATGAAGTAATTCGGTTGAATTTGTCATAGGTTTTGGTTTTTAAGTCCAATCTCTATTTAGATGTTTGTGTTTTTACTCATGTGAATTTAATCTTTGGTACACACGCTGTAATTACATCTGGTATCTGAAATCATTTAGAATTAAAGAAAAAGCTTCAATTTTCGACTTGGCAGTATTCACAAATTGGAAAATGAAGACCCTTTCCTGGTGCATGTAGAAGGATTTATACATCTAATTTTATTTGCATGTAGATATACAGTTCAGCATTTACTGTGGAAGATGGCAACCAAGAAATTGGTCGAATTGTTATGGATAACACTGTCGGCAATAACACCGTGTTTACGTTTACTTGGTCTCAATATGATACACCACTGAAGATTGTCATCACTGCCCCTAGCGGTTGTAACTACGGAACTCAAGTAGTTTCTGGTCGCTGTGAAGCTGGTTTCACCGCTGATGCTGATTCAGATTTGAAAACTGTGTACTTCCCGATTGCTGGAACAGCAGAGGTAAGTTTAAAAATAAATAATTTTTCTATTTATCATCAGAACCTTGCATATGCGTTATAACATAATGCGTGACCAATATATAAGTAAAATATAGAAAATAATATATTACAATAATAAAGTGAAAGCCTCAATAGTTCGATCCCATCCAGATGGTAAATCCGTCAATTTACACACAGATATTCACGGTGTCCACTTTTGTCAAATGCTCTGATTTGATTATTTTCAAACGAGAATATGCTTCATGGTTATATTTGATAGTGTGGTTTATTTTCTCCATTGAAACAAGATTAATTGCGTGTATTGTGGACAATAGTTTCCTGATTTAATTTGGATTCGTACTCAGCAACACACCTATTTTACTCACACAATACCCGTATATCACAATTTTTAACTTTTGGGCTCAAGCGCTAAGCACTTGTCCTGGTAGTTGTTGTTCCTATTCAAACGAAACATAATCTGGTTTCAAACCGTTTAATATAAAAACTTCTACTTTGCAGACAGGAACTTGGACTTACTTTGTTAACACTGGCAATGAGTACACACAAAACGTGGTTGCTACTGCAACCTCAATGGCATCTGACAGAGATGTACAGCCTATTAAGGTTGAATCCGGGATGGGTACAGTTGAGGCATCTGACGGAGATGCAATTGTAGTTTACGCACAGGTTTGCTTTGATTTGATTAGTATATATATAAAGATTAGTAGCTAAGTATTGCAAGAAACGACTAAAAAGTTGTTAATGCCATTGATAGGAACTCAGAAATTATTTAAACCTGTTGCCGAAATCCAGTGCGCCTGCTCATATCAATAAACTCGAATATGAAAAATTATCCAAAACGAAGACCGGCTTCAGCCATAAACCGAGTAGGCAACCCTGCCGCAATATTAAATTTATAAGATCAGAACAACTGGAAATAGTCGCTATCACACTTTTTCTCAGGTCAGCATGGGTTACGCACCTGTTCTAAATGCGGATGTGACTGCCAGAATTGAAAGACCTTCAGGTGGACCCGTGACAATCAAATTGAAAGACAAAGGAGCAGGTGTATATTCTTCCGTATAACCTTCTTGTTAGTAAGCGAAACTCACGGCCTCACCAAAGATTAGGTTGTAACTGGCCGAGACTTACTTCTTCAATATAAGGCACCTCATACTGAATAAGGTAGTGTGTACCCTTATCTGTCGAATCCCGATATTAAAAGTGTCAATAGCGACTGTTATTATCAGAATTGATTACATTTCTTGAATTGAATTTGCAAAATCCGTTGATACAATTCTGAATTTCTCGGTAACGATTTTGACTACAATGATCATTGTAGTGTCGTTTTGTTAGAAAATAACACAAGAAAACGTTAAATTTAAAGATAATTAGTTGTTATAATCAGAGATTCACCATTCACTAGTAGACAAGGAAGCACTCAAGTTCAAGATTGTTATTTTACAAATTGTAGGCATTAGGTCGTATGTGTAAAATGTCATTGGGGAAGTGCTATTTTCTGTCATCTCGCCTTTACAAGTTTGTTCCGTCTGATGCGATGTAACTGTAGTGCCTAAATCAAAGAATGAATGAAAACTAATTGTTATAAAATGGTTCGTGTTTGCTTTTGATATATCCGACAATGACGCAGTATCTACAACAGGGGTTCCCAACCTTTTTATCTCAATTTCCCACTTCCGATTAGGCTGAGTTGGTATTTCCCATTACATATGGACTTGTTTGAAAAGACTAATTTCCTTGTCAATAATAATTGGTATGACTTTCTATAAAGGCTTGCAATTGGTGTAGAGGTTGAAACCTCGTGAAAACATTCATTCCGCCGTCTAGCATCCCAAGACAGTGACGATCCGTGTAAAGAAAATCAGTGTTATCCATCGAATAGAACAATTCAACGCTTAAAATTACAAAAAACGCATCAAAGTTTACATTACATTACACCGTCCATATCAATTCTGCTGTTTTTTTTTATATGGTAGACCGGAAGTCCATCTTTGAAAATGGGCATTGCTATTGGACAAGGAGATCCGTTCGGCAGAATATCATCACACTCCACGAGACAAAGTTTCATTTATGTCCCACCGATGTTATGAAACTTTTGGTTCTTGCTATTCGGAGGACATCTACAAATGACGCAGTCAATATCACATTTGAACTCATTTGAAATTGCCCATGTTGTCGAATCTTAGCAAACTGATAAGCAAATGTATATTTGAAATATGTTGCCTCATTTCATGTGGTTACATAGAACCGTTGGAGATGGTCTTAGTGCATAAAATCGCATTGCGCAGTTGCTCAAAAATTTTCGTTAAAAACATGAAACGTAGCCGAGATGACTACGATCGTACTTTATTTTTACATAAGCCATTACCTTTTATTAACAATTTAGCAGAATGGAGGAACGGGTCAAATATTTGTTCATCAGAGCGCGTGCCTACCCAATACTTCTGAGACATTTGAATAAAAACTGTTCTCTTTTGCGCGCTGCAACGAAAATCTTCTTGCGTAATATTCAAAGCATTGGTGACCGTTTGAGACATGCCTTCGAGGTTGTTATGCCCAACAACGTGATATTTTACTAAGGTTTTGATTAATTGAATAGGAATCTTTTTCCGCTTCATGGCATATGTTGTGATTTTCATTGTGTAATATTTAATGATTGTGTTGTTGTGCGTACATTTTCAGAGGAGCATTAAATTTCCCACCTGCAACCTCCAAATTTCCCACTAGTGGGAAATTTCCCATCGGTTGGGAACCACTGATCTACAATCAAACGTAGTATGCCGCAAATATGTAAATCTAATATTTGTTAACCGGGTGTGGATCGCTTTCATCTGTCTACTTAGTACAATTATGCGGTTAAAAACGCATTTACAAATTGACCATGTTCGATAAGTTGATCTCATACTATTCTGTTATTCCGTCGGAATAAGTTGAAACCAGTTGTGATGGCGTCAATCGGTGTCAACATTCACCCCATTATCATTCGGTCAATATGTACATTGCTAGATAAGTTGATATTTTAGTAAATGGGAGACGCTACTTTCATTGCAGTAAAATTCGAATGTGGAGATTCGTTGACTACGTCATGCCTTCCCCACCTTCGTAACAAAAGTTTTGGGGGATCCCCTAACCTTCGATCGATAAGTCTTCGGTTTCCAACCGAATTCTAGTTTGAAACTGTAGTATATATATATAAACAGATGCGCAATTTCTCAATCGAAGTTTTTAAAGTGGGGAATAATTCAGAAAGTCAATTAGAATATAATATATCTTTTTAAATGTTATTTTTTTATGTCACAGCTCCCGATGTTCGCAAAAATGACGGTATCTATTCAAGGTATTTTACAAAATATAATGGAGAAGGAAGATATTCTGTACAGGTTCGCCATGCTGTCTTGATTTTGCTATTCTGTTATTATTGGGGTTTTCCAGAAATCGATATTTAAAAATGTTTGAAAACTCTTTATCTAGTTTTATCTTTTATAATTATGAATGAAGATGACACTAAATCGTTCTAGTTTATAAGCCGAATAGCATTGAATTATGTTGAAGAACAAATGGTTCAATTAATTAATTATTCATGCATTCATTTAATTAATTCAGTCTATTTCTTTTGTTTTCAAATTTTATACGGCTTCACCAAGTCCCGTTCTTTTTCACCTCTAATTTTTGAGTGATGATAAATTGTGCCACTGCGTGGTTTTCCGCAGATTTATTTAGCCGAGCGCATTGTTATATTGTTTATTACAGGTTTCCGTAACTGGAGTTGAAGGTCAAACCTCGTCAGTGTATTCATCTCCGTATTCCAACGCGGCACTGAAATTTGGTACATACAACAGTAATGGTACGTAACACCATGATCTAAAATGTTTTTCCATAGACCTTTAGTAGAAATGAATCACAGATCAGATATGTTTACTTGCTGAATTCACTAGAAAATCGATTTCCTGTCCAAAAAATCTTTGTATTCCGAGATTCATAAACATTTAAGCTCACTAATTATATGTTTTAACTTTCCGAAATAAAAGATCAACATTTTTTACATGCTTGTAGTCAACGGTTATACTAAATTGCACTGATGTTATAAGAGCCGTAAAACAAAATGAATCGACAAAAATTGCGTTATCAACTCGTTCTTCAATAAAGTAATATACAGTATTCTATTATTGTATCTGCAAAATAATCTTATTAGAATTATTAAAGAAATACGTACCCCACAAAATGTTCTTTGCGCACTTAGATATTATCGTTTTACTTACACAGGCGGTTTAACACTGAATTCAAACGCTGCACCAATTGACCCTACTGAAACGAATACTGGCAATTTTTCAAGATATTCGTCTCCTGGAGGATTCTCTTATAACGGGCAAGTATTTCAATACTACTGCGACAAACTCGTGAAAATACACCTCATCAATTTAAATACAGTAGTCGATTTTATTTGTTGTCAGTTACAGACATTTTGTTTGTTTCCAATAAATAGTATTTTGACGTAAATTTGCCTGCCGGCACTCATTTACTTGCTTTGCTGCTTCAAAAATACTAATACGCGTTTTTGTGTCGAATCAAGCTTTTGAGCAAACTTTACTTTTGTTAAATTCCAGAACTTCAACTACGGATGTATTTCGTCCAAGTAAAATTCAAGACTTGTCTGTAAATCAGAATGATGTTACTGTATCCGGTAGCAGCATCCGAGTTGTCTTCACTGCTCCCGGCGACGACTATGACGATGGCACAGGTATGCTGTGATGTGGTATAACAAGTTATTCTTAAATCTTGACTTTTTACAAACGTGATTGAATAGTCATTTGGACCTTAGTCTCTTTTGTTCATGCAGTATTGTAGACTGTAGACTTAGAGGCTACCGTTACACTTTAATGAATCCAGAACTCGGCTGGTAAAATCTTGAAACTCCCGATGCCAACATTGTCCAGAATTAGGTTTAAGCCATCGTTCCTCATTCAAATAGTTATTAAGAGTTAATTGATAACCTTTGGTTCTAGCTGCCGGTTATGAAATTCGATACAACTTTGGCCAAACATCAAATTTACTCGGGAACACGTTTTTCGATAATACTTTGATAAACCAGACTGACGTAACTGAGGGAACCATTACTTCACCACAAGAAGCTGGCAACTCAGAATCGTTTTCGTTTGTTATTCATGACATCCCATCTAGTGAAGCAGTTGTAATGTAAGCAAATTCTAATACGTTTTGTTGTTCAAATCAAAAAGATTACTGATTCTATTCAAGAGACGTTTATCGAGTATATTTGAGAGGCATTTTTATACATTTATTCCGAGTAAGTAAGGAACTATTATGATTCCACTGCAATCACATCAAAATCAAGTCAGGAAAATAGGAAACGTTCATAAAAAAGTGGGAAGCTTATTCTTCAAAATCCAAGATATTTGCAATAACTTAAATTAAAATTACACTGAAATTCATAGTGTTACAGTTGCCAAATATTTTTATTGTTTTTTTAGTAGTAGTTCTCATTTCTGAGGGAGTGATGCTAATATTGAGAGAGAGAGAGATATTTATTTCGTCAATCAGAATACAAGCATTGAATCGATAAAAAATATACACAATATACACAAAGTAATTCGGTATAGACTGGGGGAGAGATACGACCATACAGTCATCTGAGTCAGCTCCCCCCATTAAAATTGCTTCAAATAAAGTTTCATAATAAACACTAGATAGAAATTTTACAAGAGAGCAATGCTCAAATATATGGACACGCAGAACAATTCCCCAAAAATCATATGCGGTGACCAACGTCTAACATACCGGCGATGACTTACCAGTACCTGTATCGGGGTACCGTGACGGTACAGGGACTGTCATAGATATTTTAGGTCCTGTGACAATTGAAACATCAGTTGAAATATCTCGTGATATGAGTCAATTATGTACCGTATTATCGGATCAGGTACCGAACCACAGTCAAACATTTCACATAAAAACGTTACTAAATAACATGCGTCAACTTAGCACCAGCCGAATCGGGGTACAATTTTTGGTACAGTGACTGTCATAGCCCTTTAGTGCTGATGGAAAATTCGACTACACGGACAACTCACCAGTCCTAGGGTGGTGTAGCCAGTCTGCGGACAATTTCATTCAAACCGCTATAAAACAAAAACCAATATATCTAACCCGTTAATTTTTTCACCGTGGGTGCATTGGCGGCATTTATTCTACACGCTAAACCTCGTATTAACTTTCTACGACAAAGGGTTGAAGCTATACAAATCCCCAAAGTACGGCACTCGAAAGACGTATTTGCGACCAGTGTGCGACCACGGATTTCAAGCCTTGATCATCGTTTATGCTGCGTCGAGACTATCGCATACGCAGCCGTACAGCAATCAAACAGACAAAACACGGTGGTCGCAAATTGGTTGACAATTGTTGGTCTTGTGACAGCGTGAAAACATTGGGCTTCTAATTGCATTTCTGACCGTCATATATTTCAAGAACACGGTTATTTCGAACAAAACTCGTTAAATTATAAACAAAGCACCACATCACAGCAATCAAACAGACGAAAACACGGTGGCCGCAAATTGGTTGACAAAGATATTATCGACGTATCGGAAATGCACACCCCCTTTTCCCCCTCCTTCAAATGTAGAAACGCGAAACTTTCAAATATGGTTAAAAGAAACACAACTCTACCCACCTGCCAAGTTTCATCTTTTTATTTCTCATATTTGTATGGATTTTCAAGCTTTTGACAGCTACGAGTTAGTTCAGTGTCACCGCGCTGTGTTACGGTACCAGAACTTCTCTATCTTTAGAAGGTCCTGTCTTGTGACAGCGTGAATTGAAATTGCAAGATGGTCCGTTGGACACAAAATGGCGTCCGATATCCGCATAACGTTTAGTGACGTCATAGCAAACAAAAACAAATCTTACAGAGCTAACAGAAATATTTGAAATAAATAAAAGTAATAGCCTTCTGGAGAAAAATTTCATCTTCAACCACTGAAAATTTCAAAGCAATTAGTCCAGTAATCAAAGAGAAAAGCGACTTTTTAAAAACGTGTCAAAGAACAAGAACAAGAACAACAACAACAACAACAACAACATAATATTGAAACGATCGTTATGTCCACTACGTGTCCAATAATAAAAAGAAAGCACACCAATGCATCATCTTTGTTTCATTCATTTTCTAGAATTGCAGTAGCAGTCTGTGCTTATGACGAAGCAGGAAACTATGGAGAAGTTTCGAATGTGGCAACATTAAACTATTTTGTTGACCCGTTGGTGGCACCGCAATCAGGTAATGGGCAACATAGGTAACACTTGGACTGGGTTATTTATTTGCGCGGGTTTGGGAAATACGCGAATTTGGTATATAACAAAAGATGAAATTTCCCGAAATAGATACAGTGGAGTTTTATATGAATATTGTTTTGTCGTTGTTTTGTCATTTTGTCGTTGTTACCAAGAATCGATCGGTATCTACACTCAGTCATGATGCATCATATCAAGAAAAATTTGTGCATTCTCAATTGCACATAGTTTTTCGAATCCTTGTTCTTTGTGAGTGCAAATTACAAAAAAATCAAACTGTTCGTGTTTTTTCAGAAACAGATGTTGAATTGATACTGATGATTGTGTTCATCTGCACGACTGTAATACTGGGTAAGTCAGTCACATCTGACCTATAATATTTGATACCTTTATTTTTTGAATTCTAGTTATTTGTGATCGGTTTAGAATTGGCTGGGCGCCATTTTCACCCGAGGTTGTCTAAGTCTACAGTTAAGATTTGATCAGTGCTTGTGTATATTATATACATATTAGTTGCTCGAATAATTTTCGGTTTCAAAGTGGGCAGCATTTAATAGAAATGAACAAATAAACTTTGTCAGAGCGATTAAATACGCACACCATCAAGATGAATAAGGGTATTTATGGATTGGCGAATTTTACCTTTTCTGGGCTGTTTCACAGCATCAAGTATAGGGGCATGGTCGGAAGTTGGCATTTCCGTCCATGTATTATTTTCACTTTCTTCATATTTAAAGGACTTTTACTTCCCCGGAAACTACCAACCAAATGAATATAGCCGCACGCATGTTGCTAACTTTTAAATATAGATATTTATATTTTAATCTATTATATTCTGATTTCAAGCATGCATCGTTGTATTCCTGGCTTTGCAAATGAAAGGAATGAAGAAAAAGATCAAGGTGGCGCAAAAAAATTCAGGTGGACAGCAAAAATACGCCAACGCAGGCTACGTCGCTTAAATCTGAATATGTCCATTGTATATAAATGAACTCTTTAATTTTGTACATTCAATTTTGCTAAAAAAAAGCTAAATCCGTTGAGGTTACATCAAGAAGACGAAGCTTAAGCGTTTTAGCAGGGTTATTTTTTTTTTTCGACGGTTTTTCACTGTTTTTAAGCGTTTTAGCAGGGTTCTTGGTGTTTTTTGATGGTTTTTCACTGTTTTTAGGCGTTTTAACAGGGTTCTTGGTGTTTTTTGACGGTTTTTCACTGTTTTTAAGCGTTTTAGCAGTGTTCTTGGTGTTTTTTGACGGTTTTTCACTGTTTTTAAGCGTTTTAACAGGGTTAAAGTAATTGATCCAATTCATGAACACGTTACACCTTGTTTTGTGAAGTTAAAGTATATATAACTAGAACCGATTCCCTGTTGACAATTGAACTAAACTATCGGTATTTGATTTATCATACGAGTTATCTTCAATTTGATTGGATACGAGCATAAAAAAACGAAATGCGGACTGGTACTCGACTCGTTGCAACACATTGTGATGGTTGTAGATAGAAATTATGGGGGGTGATTATGCTATGGCCATTTTTTTCATTCCCTGACGTTTATTTTTCCTTACAATCCCTGTTTGTGTCTACCGGAAGAATATACTACTTGAATTTCGAGTCTGTCTTAGAGTTTTATTTCACATATTGACACCCTGATTGTTTTGACTGACATTTTGTGTTTTGGAAAGTATATGTGACATCTATATTGTAGCGCTGATGTATGCTTGGCGAACTATAACCATGGAATAAATATTTTTACGGTAAATTTATATTATTTGGAAACATTATTTGACAATGAGACGCCGGAAGGAAATGAAGTCAAATTTCAATACCTCGATTATGAAGACACAATATACTTAGCATAAGGTGTATTCCATCAAAAGTATATCTAACGTTTGTCAGACAGAACTCCAATCATGGTTGCTCTGAATCACGAATTTCCTTGGGATTGAAAATGATTCTAGTTGTTCGATCAGTTTCGAATCAAGCGTTTTTTGTATATTTAAAAAAAAAATAGATTGACCATTAATAACAGTCAGTAGTTGAAATTAAATTTTGATAATTGTCTATTATTTTATTAAACCCTCAATTCTGTACATTCATTTATACTTATATAGTTGGATCCGTAATCTGTCGAAATGTCGAAAAAAATTGGTTGCGAAACAAAAATTGTTAGTTACAATGTGCCTCCGATCCCTATTATTTTTTGGTGTGAGTCATCGATATACTACTAGCTAATAGCTATACTTAAATATTACATTACATAGAATGTTTGGCACGAATGGACAAATACTCGCACAATGAAGGAACATATACAAAGAATTTTGCTATGAAGGCTGCCGTAGAAATTTGGAAAGATTGGTTTAAAGCAACCCTTTAAAGTGTAAAGTAAAGTACACATTAAGGGATATTTGGTCAATTAACGAGTTTCAATTTCGCTTATTGTAAATGACTGCCAGCATCTAATTTCTTTCCTTCCTTTATTACTATGTTTGCCAACAAATGCATACACACATATATTACGTCTCCATGAAGGAGCGATTAATTTATGGTAACTTCTAAGTATTCATGAGAGCTAGGTAAGAAGTGGACGTCAATGAAGTAAAAAATTAAAATTAAAAAAATTAAAAGTAAAAAATTAAAATTACTGACAGATTACTTGCATAAAAACTCCAGGCTCAACTGCATATAGCTCCGAGGCCTGTTCAGAAAACGGAGAGTGATTTCTAATAATGTAGTCCAAAAAATCATTGTCCAAACGCTATTGCATAGTGTCAAGATGTATATATATATATATAATGTCATATGTAGGGTATTTGTAAGCTATAAATATTTTTTTTGTTTTCTACACAAATTCTTTGCGTGATGAAGTGTTTTTGAATTTTTCCAATAAAGCTCAATACGCGGAAGTATACTGTTTCGGAATTGTTATTGAGAGATATAATATCAAAAAAAAAATTCCCAGTAGGAAATTCACATTATGTAATATAAAACGTATTCAGCAATCTGAAAACATTGTTAGCAAGATGAGACGGGAATTCAGAGTTGACTTTTCAGCAGGACTTTTGTAGATGTATGCAGATACTGGGAAGTGTTACTGCAATAGGAATAAAATGAAAATAATCTCGAGATGAATGAATGACTAATGTGTGTGTATTATGAAAGTATATGGCGCTCTTGAAAATTTATGTCTAATCAAGTAAGTAAATACATTTACATCTAAATCCTGTGTTGCAAATAGGTTCAGGATTTTCATATTTGTCTCATTACATGTGGCCCGATAGGCTATTCATTCCAGACGGGCGAGCTTAAATTTCCACTTTGTAGTTTATATATATTGAAAGCCACTTCCACCTCTTTACACGTTTCGAATTACCAAATTTAATGTTTTTTCTTGCATGTGGCAGAATGGTTGGTGCTTTGAAATAAACGAGAATAGATGGAATCGAAACTTTTTGTTATCGTATCAACATATTTGGTTTTATACGTGACATCATACAGTTCTCTTTCTGCAGGGCAGATTTCGGATCTCACCTATGAGGGTTAGTTTCATTATAGATTTTTTGTTACTTAATACAAAACAAATTTAAAAATGTCATTTCTGATTAACGAAAAACTACTTGACTTCTACGTTGAATCAATCACGTAAAATATATTTCGACTGTGTATTACTAAAAAAATACGCTACGTCGCCTTGAAAAAGTCACCGATTTTTTTTTATATTCTAGAATTTCAACCCGAAAGAGTCGATATAAAAGTTGTTAAGTGCTATTTAATTGTTACAGTGCCATCGAAATCATATTTTTTGAACCCAGACTCTAGAGTCGAAATCGCTATCCGGAGTCGGTATTTTGACTCAGTGAGATATTTAAGTATTCGATACACTTTCATTTTTTCAAAAGTTCAATATGGCGTGGAGATACAAATCTGGGCTCATATCATCGATCCCTCCCTATAGCGCCCATAATATATATTAATTTGTCTTACCAGATGGGTGCATACAAAAAGAAAATGATACTGTAGAAGCACATTATGGATGGCCAGCCGAAATATCGTGTTTTGTTCTTTTTGATAATTATTATTATTATTATGATGAAGAACGAAATGAAACAACCACAGATATCGGGACGGTGAGTTTATATGTTTCGCAAAAGTCTTTGTTAGATTTAGTTTTGTGAAACCCGGCTGATGCGAGAATTTAATTTTGTGAAAACGTACTTTCAAAAAAATGAAGTTTAGCGAGAACGAAAGATGCAAAAAACTACTATTTCTGCAATGTAGTTTTGCGAGAAGTGATTTACCATAACGAACTGCCAAAATATTGCTTCACAATATTTCGTGGGAATGTGAATTTAAGCAGAATGCATACTCGATATCAGTTCTAATTTTTTGAAATATGTGATAACTTGGAAATGCAACTCCATGTATCTATTTGGTTATACAGCTGCAGTCAAGCGATGATTGCTGTGGCGTTTAAAACAGACACCAATCATTGCTGTGCTGTAGATGTAGTGTGTTAATTCTTTCAATTTTATTCATTTAACTATTGAGCCGCTTACATCAGCAGTTCGTTACGTATTTGTTTTCTTATTTAATAACATTTATTTGCGTTATATTTTATTTTGGTTCATTCTAAGAGTGCTTTAAATTTAAGTTGAATAAAGCCTTATATGAATTAATTCTCATAATTCTCATTCATTACAACATAAAATGAACATAATGATCGTTTTGTTATTATTATGTTATTGTTATTCTTCTTATTATTAGCCATAATTCGTTTCTTCTTTTTGTTGTGAAAAAGTCGCCATTTTCATTAACTACTGAACCAAATGATTCGACATTTTAGGTGGATAACTGATTTTCAGTGAATTGTATTTCTCGCTAAAATGCTATTACTTTTATTTATTTCAATAGTTTCTGTGAGCTCTATGGAATTCGTTTTTTTTTTTGCGCGCCGCGCCATGGCGTCATCAAAATTAAAAATTGATTACCTTGTGGAAGTTCCGTGTTCTCTTTTGTTGCCCTCTGGTGGTCGGGCGAAGTCGGGAAGACTGCAGTAACGGTAGTCTTATAGGGGTTGAGTGTCTCTATCTGCGTGTTCTTTCTCCAGCGCTATTTACCGTATTTCAACGAATTAACCCCACTGACTCATTCAGATGTGAAAAAGAAACACAGTAGATTGTAATGCAAAATGTTCATATATATATTGCAGAGTTGTACGGTCGAAATGAAATGATACAAATGAAGATATATCAAAATATACACTTGAACCTTAATACAAGTTAAACAGTTCACATCCAAATCAGTATTCACACACGGAACATGGAAAAACCTTTCTCAACTCACGAGCGGAGGCCGGAAACACGTCATTTATCGCTCGGTACACATAGGAAACACAATAAAACAAAAAGGCCACAATAACCTAGTTTCATTGAATTCAACACGCTAATACCACAAAGGGGTTGAATAACTCAACAAATCTATAGTAACAATCCTCATTCGCTATACAGTCTACTGTGACAAATTGTATTCTACTTCTTGCGCAAACTGCAACTACTACATTTGCAAGTGTATTTCTCGCAAAGTTTATTCCCGCAAGGCTACATTTTTGCAAATGTCGATTATCGTAAGATTTGTCCGAAGAGAAGTTCATATTTAATCTGAAGAAAAAAAAATATATTTCCGCGTATTTTATCCCACGTAAGGGCATCCTCACACAATGTTTCTCGCAAGTTGAGTGCTCTTCTGTGAAATACCTTTCCTACATTGATCTTGTAGGCCCAGTGTTCCCTCTAAGGTGTGCGCGTGTGCGCGCGCACACAGCTTTCAGAGGGTGCGCACACGAATAGATTTACTGCGCACAAACGTATTTCGATGTAATGTAACAATGTGCTCGGTTGGCAGGTTGAGAAAGTTTGTTGTTGACCCACTTATTACCCGGTTAGAACGCCGAAATTTCTTCATTGGTTTTTGCACAAATATCAGTCATTTCCAAAAAAGCGCGCACACACTAAAATTTCTGCGCACACATACTACAAAAAATTAGAGGGAACATTGCTTGTAGCCTTTCCGCTCAAAAAGATTTTGAACTCTTCAATAAAAATCTATTCGTTTTGAAGTTTTTAAAGTTTAATTTTCAATTCTACTTTAAGTACAAGTCTTATTTTTTAATCATATACAAATAATCCGTATTTTATTACAGTGCATCGTTATGACGGTTCCTTTTGGTAACATTGTCTACAACCAATCTGTTTCCAATGATTATGATGTGATGAGCAACACTGCTTATTTCATCCAGGACACCGCGAAAGATACTCATTCAGAATACCTTGTACAATACGTGGTAAATACACTTTTCAATCATACAATCAAATATCTATTTTAATTGTGGGAAATAATACCAAACATAAAATGAATTAAAAACGATTTCTTGTCTTCCAATTACCAAAACATCTTTCATCTTTCTATTTCTGTCACAACTTTGCGTTGTGTAGCATAAATCAAGTCATATCCATACAGTAACTTAACATCGAGCAATTGGCAAACGTTGATAAAAGTTCTCATCCACAATGCATCGGTAAATAAATACCATGTATATTTTATATTCAGACTGGAGAACACTGTTCGTATCAGTTTATAAAGCTTCATAAAACTCATGTTACGAATCCGAGATGTGGCGACACGACAGTAGAAGTTAATTCAAAGACAAAATTTGGAGCTACACGAAGCATGCGTTGTGAAGGTAAGAATGATTGCCAATTCCAAAGTATCAAAACTACCATTGAACGACAACAAATTTGATATTGAATCAGCATGCATCGTTGGCTGAATGCGAGCCATTGATCCCAGTAGCCTGCAATATAATTTACAAAAAAAAAAAATGCAAAAAAACTGCGCAGATTTGTTCACACTGGTCTACATAGAAAACTTGTTGTAATTCACTATCAATTCAATACTAAGTATTGTCCTAGCCTTTCGGTCGTTCATCCTATTTGCCTGAAAATTACAAAAAAAATAATGAAAAACAACTGTATGAATGAACATTTTTTATTGATGATTTGATTTTTACTTTTGATATCCTTTTGCAAAGGAAACTCTGACACAGCGCTTTTAACACGGCTGAGAGAAAGAGGAGAATTGTTTTACAAATGGAAGCATAATTGTCGTAATACTTCAAAAGACGACAAACAGGTAACAAGCAATTTTATACAAGTTGCATTCTGTGGCATATTTTTCATAATACAAATCACATGACAACTAATGGGTTGATCATCAAACGAACACGGCAAAGGAATATTAAGTAGATGTCATTTACCTAGAAACACAAGGGCCGAAAAATTGTGCCATTATGGCTGAGTAAAACTTATTGAGCCCAACCTCATACCATAACAACTAGTATACTTCCATCAATTTACGCCCTTCAAGCATCTCTGAACTTTGTTTGCCTGTCCAATCGGGGAATCGCCATAAGTTATCCAGTTCGATTAGAAATGTTACTATATAGCATTTATGGTCATATAACTTTCATGTCTATACTCTATTGCAGTGGTCGGCAAACGTTATGTACTTGCGGGCCAAATATACACATTTCCGGTAGCGTCCGGGCCGCATTATTTTCGCCTACGAACAATTGCCACATTAAACTTCAAATTAGGTCGCACTTTCACTGTCTTTTGCTCTGTTGAAGCCTGCCACAATGAGATGTATATGTGGCCTTTTTGAATATATATTTTCAAAACAATACATTGTTTTTATTTGCTTACCAATAATGTGAATGATGATGTTGTTTCTGTGTCATTGCTAAAGTGGTAAAATCAAATGGCTCCGCGGTCCATCGTCCAAATGACGATCTGATCAGCGAGTACGAAATTTATTCTTAGTGTGATACATTTTAGATAAAGCTACTCACAGCAATATAGGCTTTCGACTGTGCACATCAAACGTTCTGCATTGATGCACATATGAGCAGTGGCACAGCCCCGGGTCGAATTTCGCATTCGCAATGACACGTTTTGCAATGGCGATTAACTTTAAATCTCGTAATAACTGCGATGCCGATTGTGCATATCAAGTAAACTGGATTTGGAAAGCGCAAAAAAGAAAAATATTTTTTTGTCCAAGCACTTTGGAATGTTCGACCTTCGTCGGAAAATGACCACCGTTTTCCCAACATTTTTGAATTACAAAAATTAACTTTTAATTACAACCAACAATGGTAAACGACATAAAACTGACGTCATTTATTACAAAACAAGCGCCGTACAGCAGCATTTGTTACCACATATATCTGGGTGAAGGCAATGCATTTTTAATTTTTAAGGCAAACTAAGTTTCAAGTATATTAGCATGACAGTTTTTTTCTTGATTTTGTATGTTTTAGCTCACAATCAACAATTTTTCGCCTAGCGATACAGGCACATATACGTGTCTTGCTGTTTACAAGGGGAAAGAACTATTTGTGATGAAATATAATATCTGTGGAATATGTAAGTCTAGGTTTGCTGTTGATAAAACGATAACATTGTTGATAGGAGATACCAGTAAAAATATTATACCTTTTTCTAAAAATTTATCGAAAAGTGACGTCTTTGGGATGTTTCGTATTTTCCTAATATTTTGCAATCTTGAACTTATTTTGACGAAATAGGGTACAACAACATTTATTAAGAGATGTGGAATTTTAGAGTGTGGGGTGGTGTTTTAATGCAAATCGGGCGGGAATGTGAAAACGGAAACAATCGTTTTGTTGAATTCAAAGTTTGTCAAAGACTTGTCAAAGTTGCAAGTAGGATTCGGCATTTTTGATTCAATTGCTAAAGCCAACTTTAGTGGAAAATAAATATTAAATTAAGAAAAAATATTTGTCAATTCTCATTTGAGCGTGGGACAAAAAAAAAAATTTCCTACTCAAATTTTATATAGGTTTCAAATTCAATTTTTCGAAAAGTTATCAAAAAGCGTCAATATTGCTCATAATGATGCTATTTATACAATATATAAAATATATATACTTTTCAGTTGCCAATACTGCAGAACAAACTATGTCAGTACATTGTCCAGAAACTGTGTCTGTGAAAATTGGACAAGAAGCAGAAATTATTTGCCATGCGGATTTAGGAATTGGTAAAGCAAATAATCTTCTCGTTTTTTCAAATTGGACCAAGGTGAGTAATTTAACGCGAAACCCGGTGTCACAAAAATATCGTGTCCCACCTGCTTCCCCTTTTTAGCGCATTTGTCTCACTTTACTACACATATATATCAAATTTTGCTACACTTGTCCCACACTTATTCCACGCTTGTCCTCCTTTTTAGCGCACTTGTCCCATTTTTCACACGTCCCACTGATCTAAGTTATGGTGGATTTTATTGTGGGGCAAATAAATGAACTAAGCGTATAAAATTGAATTCTTACTACTTCTGGTTTAAGACGAAGATACAATACTATAGCAGGATGTTAAAGTATTCGCATGGAGTGAGATTACACAACAGTCAGTAAAATATCATTTATAAGATTCATGGCCTACATGGATTTTTAACGTATGTCATTGGTACTGGAGCAATTGTAAAAGAAATATGTACCGAGCTATATATATATATACTCTTATAGATTCATAGATGAGATACACTATATCACAGTTGCAACTACACACTTTAGTTATCACGTTAAACGTGCAAATATATGGAAATGTTTTCATTTCTATTCACAACCCCGATGACGTGTGTCTGTATATGCTTTCGAAACATTGGCAAAACTTTATTATGTTTCATACCAGCTGTATATATGTTTCACTATAGTGGCTGGTATCAACTATTGTAGCTACAAATGGGTAATTTTATAAGGTTGTGTGACGTAAAATGTGTACCGACTTGTTTTGGTTGAATCAATAGATTGTATTCCACGCGGGGTACTCTGACGTAATTCATAGTTCATACACATATATCCAGAACAAAGGATGTTTTGAAGTGAATTTTGAATTTAATTTAAACCAAACTATATAGATTATAGGATATCCACCAAATACAACCAACTAAAACTAAGTTTGTTCTAGGCGAACGATCCATTTAGATGTGAAAATTTAAATAAAGGAATAAGCAACTCAACTATAGGACCAAGAATAACATGCCTAACGTGAGTTTCATGCTGAGCTACCGTGTTTACCCGAATATGTGACCTAGCCTGAAAGTGGGACTTATCCTGAATTTGAAAAATGATTTTAATATAAGACCTCCCTTCAAAATAAGAACTAGTCGATGGCGCGAATTTTTTTTTGACCTAGTCGATAGCAAAAAATCTTTTCTATTAAATGATTAACCTAAAACATGCAAGAGAGAAAAACGTGTTATTTACAAGTAAATGGATATCGTTTTCATATTTTGTATATCTGAAAATCTCGTAATTCTCTACTTTGTCGATTTGTTTTTGATAAATGAAAATAAATACATCTTCCCAAAATAAGCCCTAGTGTTATTTTTCGGAAAAAATTTAAATAAGTCCCTGTTTACTTTTCGGGAAAACACGGTAGCTACGTTTTGAGTCTAGTTTTACGTGGTTACTGTAAAGTTATTTATTTATGTGTATCTCAGAATTTTTAAAGAGAGTCAAAGATACTGGCAGTCCATACTCTATCTATAGTACAGTAGTAATAGCCAAAAGGTCAAAGCATTTCTGGTTAGAAGTGAAAGAGCTTTACTTTGCACCAAATGCCCTTGAAAGAGCGCTTCAACGTCGATAAATCTATCAAAGGGCTAGATGCAGCAGAATTCGTTCATTTCTTGAGCGTTGTTCACTCAACTTGATTTGATCCGACTTTCACACTGTTTAAGATACTCTAAGTCCTACGTCTAAGCTGTGAGCAAAACTGCTTTAACATAACCGAACTTTCCGTTGTCTTGGCAACTGCAGTAAGCAAGTATTGATTTGATGTGGCCACGCAAAAAATCCATCTATAATTTACTTTCAGAGAGTCCAACGCTACAAAATGTTACAGTTTTCCTACTCCTCTGCCCGACAAACCACCACACGACATATTCGAGGTCATATTGAGGATAAGGTATAAATGAAATATTGTAATGTTAGTATGCTTGTAAGCAATGTCAACTCCCTGTTGTCAAAAACCTATACCAGCAATGAAAGGGGGATTTTTAAACTCTAAAATTGTTAGAAATTTGGATTTAGTTGTTTGATAACTTTATCTTTGTTACAATTCATTGTTGGTAACCCTACACGATATTTGCTTGGAGAGTGATGTATCCTTTGGGGCACTGATCGGCAACCTTTAGCATTGAAAGAACCATTTGGCATACTTTCAATCAAACGACCGTCTTGCGACCCGTTTTTACCGCTCGCGATTTATACTTCGGGAACCGCTGTGATGTGTAATTAGTGAGGAGTATTTGGCTGTGTGCTTCCCAATCCTCACGGATTATAAAAAAAAAACAGCGCTCCCGTAGTATGGGAACCAAGATGGCGGACACCGGAACGTAGTATGTGTACCAGGTTAGAGTTAGGACATAATTTTATTTCAATTTTTCTTATTTTAGTTCTATTACGAGTTCGGAGGCTAGCCAAGAAACTCCCGTAGTATTTGTACCTGAAATTATGGCCTAACCCTAACCTGGTACACATACTACGTTCCAGTGTCCGCCATCTTGGTTCACTTACTACATGAGTACCCAAAAAACTGCTGTACGCACTTTGATTCCACGGGAGCCAGAGCTCCGAGCCGCATGTGGCTCCGGAGCCGCAGGCTGCCGATCGCTGCACCAGGGGTTGAAACCCGGAAATTGTTCATAGGATTGATTTGTGTAAATTAGAAATACTCCGCCCGTGTTCACATATATTATTACATATATATTCACGTTTATTTAAATCATCAAACGAAAGTTATCAAACGGTTGTTTATATATTTCTCACCCAATAAATTAAGTATTTTACCACTCGTCTGTTGTTATCGTTCACTTATCCAAAAATACGATAAGAAAACGGTCCATACAATTTTTTATATAATATTATTTTGTTATAGAAATGTTACTCTCAACGATCTGGGATCCTATAAACTGAGGTTCAATTACTCCTCTAATGAGGAATCCGCAAATATAAAGTTGGTTGCAAGCATGAGCAATGTTTTAATAGTCACAAGAACTGCTGTTATTGTTGTAACAATCCTGATGTTTTCAATATTAGTTTTATTGCTGCTGTTACTATGGAAAAAGCACCTTTTTCGGTGGCTTTGGAAGAAATATTTTGGACCATACGAAACAGGTTTATTTACAATCATTTTCAAACTGTAATTAGAAGTTCTTATCTTCAAGAGTGTTTGTATTGATTGCTTTTATATTAATAATTGGAATCGCACAACAGTAAAGACTTTATCATCTGAAACTGGTGTTAGTTTTTCATTTTATTTTCCCACTCTATCTATTATTACTATTTTTATTGAAAACAAAATGTAATAAATACGTTTATCCAGATATCAGCCGGAACGATATAATCCGGCGCAGGACACAAATAAACTGATTACTTTATTTCTCACTTATATATACCTACCTGTGCGAAACTATAACAGTTTTGATTGAAGCGGGAAATAAGATGTCTGAAAATTTAGTAATGTTTATTAAGATGCATTTTTGAAAGGAAAAATCCTGTTTGCAGTCGTTGGTTAGATTGACGAAAACATATCATTACGATTAGAAAATACCCTTGCAGTAATATATTCAACCAAGTAACAATTATGGTAATAGCTGTGCCCATAAAATAATCTTTTTAAAGGCCTACATTTGAATTGTGTGTTTGAATGGCTATCCTGATATATTTGCATCAAACTTAGGTTACTATTGGTATATTGAAAATAATAGCTTGCATATTTCATTGTTTTTCACTTTAGATGTTTACCCCTACACCGCATACCTTGCTTATTATTATGACAACGATCCGGAGAAAATGTCCGAAATGTCAAAAATGAAAGTGGAAACATTGGTTTTAAACATTGAACGCTTTATCAGTCGTTTACATGGATCAACATACAATGATCAAAAACAGTCAGACTTGGACCGACGTAAAATATTCCAATAAATATGCTTGATACTATGCCTGAATAATGCTGGCTTGATATACTAGGCGAACCAATTATACTCCGGGTAAAGTTGTGGACCGGGTGATTCCACAAAATATTTCTTACAATAATCGTCAACATACTAAGGCTTAAAATGCATATATAATTATTGAGCCTTCCGACTGCAAAAAAAATTTGAGGTTGCAACGTCGACTCCGAGAGTTAAGTTTTTAAATCCGCCTTCAGACTAGAAGAAGTTTAGTAATTAGACGCCGGCTGCGACAATTGAAAATCGGCACACTCCTACTGTATATGCTAACGATTAGTAACTTAACTTGAAGGCCCTGATGCCAAAATTTGTATAAATTTCAATTAATGTTGCATACAAATTTTAGGCGAAACTGTAGAACTTCTGCAAAAATTATCAGAATGCCATCGGATCATTATATTGCTATCACCGGAATACATTAATGATTATTGGAGTTTACACACAACACATCAGGTACAATATCTTGAGAGATTGAATAAAAAAAATACAATTTTTTTAAAATAATATTGATTATGATGAACATTCATTGTCAAGGAAATTTTGATAAAAATTCGTCATTTTATTTTTTTTGGTTTTCAGGCTCTTCAAGAAGTTTTGAATACCGAAAAAAAGTTGATATTTATAACGATGCCTGGCGCAAAGAAAGCGGTCTCTCTTTCAGATGATAAAACGAAATATTTATTGCAATATGCAATGAAAGTAAGCTATTGTATGTAACTAAACGAAGGTTATCACTAGTGTCGCTTACTGAACATGAAGTTAACCTGTGGAAAGTTTTACTAAATCATCGTTCAACTCTATTGTTATATTTTTGTCTCATTGTTTTTTTTACACTTTCTCGAAAAATTGACTCATTGAAAAAACCACGTCGTGGTGTAATTTAAAAAAAATATGTGGTATAAAAACGAGCACGAGAAGTCTTGATGATTCAGGCAGAAATGAAAGTGAAAATTTTTAGAGGATGACACAATCTTTAACATCCGATATTTTGAAAGCGGTTGGTCCAGTAGCTAAAGAAAAGACCATTCGTTTTTCGAATGTGTATTGAATTCGACGCCATTCGTGCATACACGATCCGTTAACACCCGACGTGGCATTGTAGGTAGTAGGTACACAATGAAAAAAAAAACGGAACTTTCTTACAATGTAATTGTTTTCTCTGTTATTATGGTAGCCTTGAGACAGATATATTATTAAAATTATCTCAATAATTTCAATCAGCGAAGCACAACTGTGCATTGGTCTGGAATGGTACCATTTTCCAGTACATTCAAGTACAGAATTGGGTACGCATTACCAAAATTACGTCCAAGATGCAATCAGCAGGTTCAAGTGAGTGTTTTTCTTGATCTGTTAGTGGTCACATAAGACTAACTTTTTGCGATCTTCTTACTTTTCTGAACAAGACTTTGTTAAGATCAAATACAGCTAAAAACTAAAAAAGTAGAAAGCTTGTGTTAAGTGCTATCTTCAAAATAATTAGATTCAGAAGAATGTATACCGAATACATTTGCACCATGCGGAATGATATTGAGACGTACCATATTGTTTTTATATTTTCAGAATCAAGTTTGATTGCGAGATGGGGATTTACTGTACTGTGTAGTTACTTACACTGAAAACGTATGGGAACGTTTATTGATGAAACCTGCGAAATTTTATTTGATGAATATAGTTCTTATTTTTGTAACTTTTTCTTCAGTGATTAAAAAACTCATATTACAGATACAGATTACAGATTACAGGTTACAGATTTTGCAATGATGCTGCTCCAGGCGCAAGATTCCCACCACAAGGTTTGCTGAATGCCGCGACGAGATTTCGAGATTTATTTTGCCAACGACGAGAACTGTATTTCATCAATATTAGAAGCATAAGTCATACTGTGTAGTATAAAACAGATTGCAATTGATTTTTTATTTTCGATTGCGCCTAAGATTTTCCAAGGTATATCTAACGAAAGAGGCTATTGCTCAAATATTTGGATACCAAGGCCAAAACGAAATAGCATTAAATCTCTTCAAATTTTGGAATAAAATAAAATACCATAGAGCCCGTAAAAGTTTTTGAAATTGATTAAAGTGAAAACAATCTTTAACCACTAAAAAATTCAAAGCAATTGTACCTGTAGTTAGAGAAAAGCGACAAAAAGTAAAATGATATTAACAATAGCATAACAATAACATGATAATGAAAGGATCTATAGGTTCATTTCGTGTCCAATAAAGTGAAGTTTTAAAATTGAAATTAAAAACGACTAAAAATGTAAAGACAATTTGGTCCTTCTGGCGTGGAAGTTTTGCAATATAATTAGATTCTTTATATAATTTTTGATGAATAATGTTTCATAAATTTGGAAACGAGCAAAATAAATTTTTTTTTTCAAAGCTTTGAAAAGTAATTTATTTTTTATAATGATGAAATGTAATTTTCCGCCTGACTATAAAATGAATGGGGTGTAAAAACTAAAGTATATACATGTGCTGATAGTTAATGGGAAAGTCAAAATTTTCCAGTTTTTCATTGTCATTTTCATACAATGTATAATTTTGTTGCAACAAAAATCAACTAGGTGTCAAAAATTTCACTGTGTTTTCATCGATACTCAATCTATTATCAATTCAATAGTGTTTTTGTGTTAGCAACTGGCGTTTTGACATTTATCCGTGTAAGTTCAATACACCAGAATGTTCATCATCATTATTAAATTGTTCTCAAAATTGTTGCAGTGGGAATTCTTAGAATTTGTGTGGTATTGTTTTTTTTTTAAACTTCTTATTTGTATATAATTATGTATTGTGTGCTTGTGTACTATACTTTGAATATACTGAAAACTTTGAATTTCTTGAAATTGTTTCTATGTTATTCAATGAATATCAGAGCTTGCTTGAAACTCGAATCGTTTCTACAGAATATGCATTATGCAGTGTGATCAAGGTCGGTTCTCTCTACATTCTCGCATGATAGCTGAAATTGATTATTTGTCATCTTTCCAAAGTATGCTGTATCAATGTAAATGGCGCGTTTTATTCATTTTTATTTTTCATTTTTTTTTATACATCAGAATCATTATGCATAGACAACTCGGCCTTTCTATACAAATATTTTATACTAATACATACAGCTCCTTTTCGTATAGAAAACAACTCTCCTGTGATTTGTACATGTACCCACTTGCATTTTGAAATTTTGATTTATACATATTACGTAATACGTATAAAAGTATTATACGTCAGTGAAACATGACTGTATTCCTCATATCCCCGATACGTTTGAATCATCAATACTCGCCTGTAGAGTAGACTGTTCTTTCCCATATTAGAACTGAAATTTATTTGATTAGCTTTTATGATTTGTAGCGTTCGTTTATGTTCTTTAGCGGCGACGAGTATGAGCTCTCAAATGGGCAGACCTAGTGCTTTTCCTACACCTTCCCCCCTCCTCCTCGAATTTCCATCAACCCGCCCAATTTTTAGGTATGATGCCACACATGCCTGTGTATCTTCTATAGAAATCTTCTTTTACTACTAAGAATCTAAAATCGATTGCTTCATCAAATATTTATTCACAACAATCATCCCAATCATTTTCACAAAATAACAACAACAATTGAGCAAAATGATAATAAATACCTTCACTGTCGCGCCAGAAGAAAATTAGGTTGAATAGTTGAATTCCTAAGAACAAGTTTGTATGAGAGAACGGTCCGAAAATAGTAGGACTTCGGAATGAAATTATTGGATCTTATAGTTTGATGCTCCAACATTCAAAACGCTTCAGATCATGGTACAAAATATAGTGTGCGAATACCGATATACCAATGCACACATAGTTGATACCGCGCATAATTTAATATACTTGAAAATAGGCCACATAGGTTCAACTCAGAATGTACATTTTTCTACTGTCAATATAAATGTAGTGATTGTTCAGCTTCGCTGTATAAACATTTACTGGACGTTTTGCTGATGTCAACAGCGAACGATATGTTAGTGGGGATCAATAGATGAGGTGCAATAAATAAAATGTAGATTGACAAAATTTGGAGAGTTGAAAATTTGAAATATTATCTAAGATGACTATGCAGTTTCGAAAAGGTTGTTTTTGTCTATGGCTATAGAAGTGCGTGGAACGATGAAATTCCACCCACATTTTAGCTTAGGAGGAAATGAAATAAACAAAAGTAATGGCTACCTACGCTGCGTGAGGCATAACAACGTATATATAATATCATAATCTCAATACCATATAAAGATTTGTAAAAATATTTATTTTTAAACTCGTACTTTTCGTCAGGTGTATACTAGGAATTAGTGAGATGTACATTCTACATGCAAGCATTGATGATTCAATCGTATCGGGGATATGGGGAATACAGTGTTTCCTGACGTATAATACTTTTGTACGTACTAACTGACTTACGAAAATTTATAAAATCAAAATTTCAAAATGCAATTGCATTCGAAAATTATCAAAAAACAACAGTAAAGTCTGTGAAAAAGAATCTTTGTGGTAAATAATAATATTAACAATCGATTTCTTAGCATAACATACGCCAGTCGTTTTCTTTCAAAAACTGCTTATTAGGCGATAAAACGACTTGGCGAGATTTGCTAATTGTTGGAAATTTCAGCTCGAGGCTAATTAAAAACTGAAAGGTGACAACGTGGCTTGAACTTTATCTGGTTATAATGATTCCCGCGACTACAGAATAACACTTTTCATAGAGAGAAATTCAAATTGATTTCAGATTTATTTATTTGAAAAAATTTCCGAGCAGGGCTTTAGACTAGTGTGTGAATACTTGTATTTTGTATAAAACAATAAAGATCGCTGACTTGTCTTTATCGAAAAGTACATACAGCACAAAATTAAATGAAGTCTTTCTTTATCCACAATCAGTATCACGAAAGGCCGCATGTATTTGTATCATGATTTTGTTGTTGTAATCTCAGCATTAGCTATTGCGTTCTATTCGCGTGATCAAATCTCAGCGATACTGTAGTTTCATGCCTTAGGATATTATTGTAACAAAGTTATCGCTGAAGCATGCTTAGTCACATTATCTTTTGTGAATATGAAATCTTCTGAATTTGACATGTCATAAATAAACGGAAGAAACTGTGACGTGTCGACGATTAAAATAGTTTAGATTAGACGGTTTGAAGTCGCGACAAAAGAGATAGCATGATGAACTGAAAATACTGTCGAAAACCTAACCAGGACTCGATTCATAAACCCTACATTTTTCTCAGATACTGATGTTATTTTGTATTCACTATCATATAACTGCTTTTAGGGTCGTTATCACTTGAACCAATGAGCATATGTACAATGAGTGGAAACTTCCAAATATTTTCTCATTAATCCATTGTACCCTGCATTGTTTACGTCGTCCAGCTAAATGGTTCGTTGCATATGGAGAAAGCTTATCGCTCGCTGCGAAAATCCATTGCTTCGGCCGCGCCGGTTGCGAAATTGGCCGTATTAAGGCTTTTAATTTTTCGATTCGTGTTCGGTTTTGGGTTTCGAAGTATGGTACATTGAAAACATACTAACTATAAGCATATGCTCATTGGGAATACATATCTATTAGCTATAGCACAGAATATGAAGTCAAGTGCGGTTATTTCTGATTATAGCATGGGATTTAGGTACATATTTATCCATGAAAAAGGAAAAGGATAAGAAGTCCTAAATATATGGCGAACCACAGCTTCTCGCAATCATAGTTTATAAGGCGCTCCATACGAAGCCCCAGGGCTCTCCGATTTCAAATCACTCTGGCAGTCTGGGATATCTTGAGAATGAAAACGAAGACAAAAATTAGAAGAATAGCAGAGAATCGGCTTATCGGCTTTTCTCTCCGCATGAGTAAATATGTTAACCCCGTCTTATATCAATGAATACAAAGCCCCACATCCCCCTTTACATGGGTCGTACTCGTAACGAGTGGTGGGATTCAAATTTTTAGTCAGCTGGTTCCATCACAAAAGTCATAGTTTTTGGCCGGTTCTGTTACATGTTTTTTTCAGCAATGCTGACCGATTCGCTGATCTCATTAAATTCCGTGAGACGGTTCTATAGAACGGGCTAAATCCCACCACTGGTCTTTTTTAATTATTATTTGATATGAAAGTAACACGGAAAAGATATAAAATTAAAACATAAAAATGTCAACTATCAGCTTCACAAATATCGCATCCCGGGGTCAGTAATGATAATATTGTTTGCTCAAAATTGGGACCGTAACTGTGATTTATATAAAAAAAAATACGGTTTGCCCACCACTAATCACGGCGCATGTAAATAATCCATAAATGACAATAAAAAATCAACTTTGTTAGCATTAAATTCCAAGTGAAATTTCCACATTTCATGATTCGATCGGCGCTACACGCGAGCGTGATTTTGTATATATTCACCAAACACCGTCAAGAAAACAGAGGCGAGCTACACGTGACTGTGGAATTTCGCTGTGAACGACGCATTGTTTTTATTTTATTACACGCCTCACGCCGTCGTGAGTTGAACTTTTGGCGTACTGTTTTAATTTCACCGTATGCCCCCCACCACGTTGGAAAAATCCTGGCTGCGACCCTTGTTCAAATTATATATCTCACTATTGATTACAAAAGTATAATTGCATCCAAATCAACAGTATCTATATATATGACTATATGAAGGATCGTTAAAATTGAATAATATACATGCAAAAATCATAATTT